GGTTATGAAATCTTCACAGATTTCACGAAGAATCTTTATGTACTAACTAGGGACTCCTTAATTATCAAGGGCTTCCATGACTTCTTCTATTTCAATTGAATCAAAGGCCTTCAGCAAATCGATGAAAGTGAGACAGAGCGGTCTTTTGTACTCTCGCGATACTTCAATGAGCCTTGTTATCGTGTGGATGTGGTCCATCGTACTAAATCCTTTTCGAAACCCTGCTTGCTTAGACGGCTGGCCTTCGTCCAGTGTTCTATTAATCTTGCTTAGGATTACTCGAATGAAAATTTGTAGACGATAGACTGCAGCAGATAGGGCGATAGTTTCCCATATCGTGCAGGTCACTCTTCTTGAACAATAACATGGTCTTGCTGGTCTTCCACTGAGTAGGGACCTTGCATTGAGACAGGTAACGTGTTAGTAGCCGAGCCACTGTGTTTGCGAGGACTTTCAGAGGGTTCATCAGGTGTTCTGGTTCTATCCTGTCCGGACATGGTGCTGTTCGATTTTTCACCGACGAAATGGCGTGTCGGATTTCGGAAAGGAGAACCAGTGGTACAACATATCCATCCTCCTTTATTTCGTACGACGGGAGATGGACGTGGCTATCGAAAATTTGAGTAGTATTCGCGAATAATTTTTTCCATTGCCTTTCTGGACGTTGTAACTGTTCCGTCTGGGCGTCGGAGAGCAATCATTTTGGCCTTGTAATTGGAGAAAAAGGGGAATGAGGTTCGTTTTTTTCTACTACGTTTAGCATTTTTAATACCCACGTATAGCTTGCTGGGCTCTAAACGTGGGGGCTGGGTATACTCACGGGTAGCTTGTCAGGCTCTCCCAGAGTGGACATGGAGCTTATTTGTTGGCGGGGACTCCTAACCGCCTCCAATATACTTCCCTGTCACTTGATTGCAGGCTTTTGGCAGAATTGACAATCCGCATAAGGAAGAACGCACCCACACACGCATGCATGAATACGCCTAGCAAATACAGAAAGTATGTGCCAAATCGGCGAAGAAGGAACAAGGAGTCCATCTCCTGGATCCAACTGCGTCACTTTTGGTCCGCGATTAACCCCTTATCCGCCACCTGGAGACACGCCACGTAGCCTCGCGACTAACCGGCTCGAGATCCCTCATATGAGGGAGATCCGAGGTAATGTAAAAATACAAACTGGGATATTTACGATTAAAAAGAGGTGAATCAATTCCGGACTTGACAATCTTCTTCGTTTACGCGCCGACATCAAGCTATGATGAAGAAGAAGTCGAAGTGTTCTATATGGACTTGGAGAAGTTCTACAAAGAAGACCACACACTCTTCAAGGTCATCATTGGAGATTTCAACGCCAAGATTGGACCAAGAAGAACGTCACATTGGGACCCGCGGATTAGAATGGAACGAACAGGGTGAGCGGTTGTCCGAGTTTATTACGACCCCCAAGACCATCCAGAGCAACCCGCAATCCCAAAAGCCCCATCCTCCACGCTTAACGTGGGAGCCTCCCAATAGAGAGTACCATAACGAAATAGACCGCATTAAAGGTAATGGAAGGTTTTGCCTAACCGATGTCGCTGTTCTTCCAAAATTCTACACGAGACCAGACATATTTCTCGTGGAAAGGAGAAAAAGCCGCTAAATTCAAAAATCGAAGTCCCAAAACCACCATAAACAAGGACTTATTGAATTCATTAGTCGCCTGTTGGGAAGATGCCGTTGTCGATAATATCGACGAAGAATACGATCGGCTCATTCAACATCTTCACGTTAGCGCTATGAAAACTGAGAGTTCGGAAGACACAAAGAGACGTCTGTCTCCAGAAACATTCAAGCTGATACGCCAGCGTGGAATCGCATGAGCTGCAGGCAACCGCGAACTAACGTCCGAACTTGAAAAACAATGCGAACAGGCGATAGAAGAAGATCTTAAAGACAGAAGAGCAGCAGTAATGGTCGAAGCTCCAGAGGCTGGGAAAACATTTGCAAAGCCAACCGAAGCTTCGCCGATTTCAAGACGAAGACGATTCCACTCCGACGCCCAGACGGAACAGTTACAACGTCCAGAAAGGCAATGGAAAAAATCATTCGCGAATACTACTCAAATTTTCGATAGCCACGTCCATCTCCCGTCGTACGAAATAAAGGAGGATGGATATGTTGTACCACCGGTTCCCCTTTCCGAAATCCGACACGCCATTTCGTCGGTGAAAAATCGAATAGCACCAGGTTCGGACAGGATAAGATCGGACCACCTGAAGAACCTTCCGCCAGGCCTCGTAAACACAGTGGCTAGGCTCTTCACGCCTTACCTGTCTGAATTCAAGGTCCCAACTGAGTGGAAGACCAGCAGGACAGTGTTATTGTTCAAGAAGGGTTACCTACACGATATCGGCAACTACCGCCCAATCTGCTGCAGTCTATCGTCTACAAAATTTCATTCGAGTAATCCTAAGCAAGATTAATAGAACACTGGACGAAGTCCAGCCGTCTAAGCAAGCAGGGTTTCGAAAAGGATTTAGTACGATGGACCACATCCACAAGGCTCATTGAAGTATCGCGGGAGTACAAAAGACCGCTCTGTCTCACTTTCATCGATTTGCTGAAGGCCTTTGATTCAATTGAAATAGAAGAAGTCATGGAAGCCCTTGATAATTAAGGAGTCCCTAGTTAGTACATAAAGATTCTTCGTGAATTCTGTGAAGATTTCATAACCATGATATCATCATTCTATAGCGATATTAACAGAGACGTCAAAAGAGGAGTTAGGCAAGGCGATACCATTTCGCCAAAATTATTTACCGCCACCCTCCAGAACGTCATGTGAACATTGGAATGGGACAATGTGGGAGTGAAAGTCGATAGTCGGCAGTTACGCCATCTTGCCTTTGCTGATGACATCGTCCTTTATAACACCAAACGTTAGCCAAGCGGTACGTATTCTTGACGACTTTGATAAAGCCTATGGAAAAATTGCTCTTCGACTAAATCTCACAAAAACGATGTTCATGAGGAATGCATTGGTTTCGTATGCCCCATCCATGCTCAACGGAATGAATATCTCTAAATGCTCCAGTTATATCTATCTAGGTCGGGAAATCAATACGATGAACGACCTAGCTCCAGAGCTGAGCAGAAGGGAACGAGAGGCTTGGGGAGCTTTCAAGAGCATCGAGGATGTAGTGAAGAGAACAAAGAAGACCCGACTCCGCGCCCTTTTCGACTCAACGGTACTTCCTGCCCTAACGTATGTGACAAAAACCTGGTCGCTGCGTAAGAAGGATGAAAGGTCACTCAGCGTTATCGAACGCGCAGTCGAAGGGACGATGATAGGAGTATGCCGTTCCACACAAGTAAAGGATGGGATCCGAAGCTCCGCTCTGCATCAGCGATCAAAAATCAAAGATGCCATTCTGTACGCCAAACAGTGGAAGGTAAGGTGGTCCGGAGACGTAGTGTGTATGAATGGAAACCGATGGATAAGAGCCGTTAGTGACTGGATTACTCGGGAAGCGGAATGTACTGCGGAAAGACCACCGACTCGTTGGTCAGAGCCTAGAGCCTTCAGTTCCTCACGAAGAGCCTAGATGAAAGATATGATGTTCGACGAGTCCCTAGAGCGAGGAGAACACACTGGGCTACTTTTGCATGCGACAGGGAAAAATGGAAGATTTACTGGCGCCCGCTCGAGTCACTCGACTATCAACGGGACTACAGCTGACAGGTGATTCTGAGTGTAAGTTTATCTGGCTTTGTTCTTAATCACATTCATACATTAACTCATTTTATAAGTAGCAATGTTCAGAAAGTGTTTTTCTTGGAAGGAGAGCGGGGAGCAGTTCATATTCCTTTTCTAATACTCCAATCTTCACCCAATGAACAAATTTTGATCAATTTTCCTTTTCCTGAAAACATTCTTGAGAGCGATAAGCTTTTATCTGGGACGAAAGGTGTTGTTTTATTAGTTTTGTACCATATGTGAAGGAGAAAATTGGCTATAATCGTATCCCAACGAAAACACGGATAACTATAACGACGAGTAGTTTTTTCAGGTCAGGTGTGCACAAATGCTACTCGAGTATTTGTTCAACGAGGAATTTTCGATATCTTCACTGCGGCCTTGCTTAAGGTAGTATTGCTTCCATTACTTAAGCTCAGAGTTTTAAATATAGTCCTACATTTTTCTACCCACTTATTGCATTTGACCACTGAATTGTTCCAACTTCTATCCGGCGAAAACCATTGTAGTGCATTAGATCTGATAGGGAGTAGTATGTGCTTAAAACTGACATGATCGAATTTGTTCGATTTGGTTGAAGTACTTTAGAAGTGCTGTAAGAAAGTTGTTTCTCATGATATTTTATACTTCTTTTCGCATTTCTAGGAATGCGACGAAAAATTAACTATTGGTGATCCATTACTTGATACCACTCGAGTCGGAGCAAACATTAACGAACTACATTTGAAAAAGATTCTTGGATTCATTGAAAGTGCAAAGCAAGAGGTAGGTGTGGTCGAATGGAACAGAGATGAGTTAGCTGAACGTTGAGTCATACCTACAGTTATATAGGTTGGTTGTTATTCCTGGTTTTGATAAATCAATCTTGAACTTTAGTGAGATGTTGGGCAGTTTTATTTGCCTTTTTAAAAAGTTTTTACGCTTTTCGTTTTTTTCATAATGTCCACTTTTCATAGGGTGGCAAAGTGTTACGAGGTGGCAAGCGAGTACATCCCAAAGGCGTTGAGAATGGTTTCTACTTTGAACCAGCGATCATTACTGGATTAAAGGTGACAAACAACCTTCGATCCTAGAAGCCATAGTTTACTATCAATCGGTTCGAAAATTATCTAACTAAAATGAAAAGAACTTTTAGAACTAAAGAACTAAAATGAATTGGGTTATTATTAAGAGATTTCAATGAAGCTATGTCTAACAATAAAGTGTGGAGAAGACGTAAAAGGTATAGTCCCTTTTCTCACGAGCAAAACATGACCCATATTCCTACCGCTTCAGTGTATGTAAGAAAGTCTTACAACTTTTTCTAATCATTACCAGTAGTACTACCCAGAAATACCGCCGTTGTTCCCATCACGTAATAGTTTCTGCGGGACCTGGTGATGAATGGAGACTTGTCTATTCTATCACACTTAAAGCTGTCCATTCTTATAACTGCAATGAGACCAGCCAACGAACTACTTGCCGAGCCTTCTGAACTCACCAGCTCACAGGATTTTGTGGGGCTGTTAGAATCGACGCGATATGCTGTACCAAATACTGTAGTCGAGTGACAGTTTTATTACGGCCGTCTGCGTAAACCAACTTTTTGGGTTGTCTGCTGCTATTTGAAAGAAGACATTGGAAACTGGCCTCTACATTCTAGGCACTCGGTTGTCAGACGGTTCCACAATATTATATTCCTACAATCCGTACTTTGCTCTACCGGCTTTACCCCATCCCCAGCCTCCGATTATTTCGCTGCTTTCTAAGAACTTCACCAACTTTAACGGTTAGATATTGCGATGCGAACATTTTTGATTAACACATGTCATAGTTCTGGAAGAAGGATCCTCAATATCTGAGCAGTATATTCCTGAACACTGAGTTTTGGTGGCCAATCGGCTTCGTCGTAGTTACATCCTTGACTGAAATAATTTTGTTGAAATAAAGCAGAATAAAGAGAGATAAAGCTTTCGGCTTTGATTAACCCCTAAGGAATGTACAGTGTATTCGACTCTATCAAACACCGTAAAGATGATTGGATATCTGGATATGCATATCTGATCTATAGAATGACATGCGGAGGTTTAGCAACTTATCAAGTTAATATTTTAGTGGTTAAAGGCAAAGCTAGCACTAATTTTACAACCGCAGATAGGATGGAGGGGTTGCTATTTTATTTTTGAAGATCTAAACCGACTCTAATTTAACCCCGATGTGAATAAATAATGGCCTTTTTTCAGTGATAAGCTAACGCGAGCTTGTTATCAACATTTATTCGGCTAACATTTCAACGTCTTCGTCTTCTTCAAAGCCAGATTGATCGGATTTGATTGTTCACAGGAATGGATGGACGAACGACTGCACAATCAACCCGAATCGATTTGGCTCTGAGGAAGACGAAACGTTAGTCCAATAAATGTTGGTAACAGCCTCACGTTAGCTTGCCAGTGGGAAAATGCACTGACCATGTATGTTTTGTGGTGCATCTCTTAAGTGCGTTTTACATCAATGTTTAAGCATAGTTGGCAAGCAAAAGTAAAAGTACCATACTTGGCCCTTACCATTTTTTCAACGTTTCTTGGAAAAAATCTTGATGCGGCATTGCCATGATTGTGCTTATTTTATGCAAAGTAACTTTCACCGGCAATGACCACTTCGTAATTGTTATTCTGAGAAAATTTTCCTTAACCTTTTGGTCTTTTTTAAGGGGAGAGTTACTTCAGACATTTCAGGATAATGCGCATGCTGTGCGTGAAGAGCTATTCGGTGCTTGTTGTCTGCTTCTGCCGTTTGACACTGAGGAGGAAGTGATGAATAGAGCTAATGATACCATGTACGGACTGGCCGCAGGGATATTTTCGAGGTCGTATTCGGGTGACAATGTATTCGATTTTAAATGATGGATTCACCTGATCTTCTGATGTCTTACACTAGAGTTGTAGTTCTACTGCCTTGATAAGAATCACTGGTTCTTCCAACTACGTTTTATAACAACGTCCTCGTCACTCCGATCTATGAAAACCGTTGAACCCGTTTTACTTATACCTACATTACCTCATCTTTGTACTTATATTTTCATCTATGCTTAATTCATTAATTCCTGTCCTCCCTCCAGCTGTCTTTGCTAGGACTATCCTCTTTTCATTTTAAGACGTACTAAATCGGATCTATGAAGGTTCGCTTTCTTAGGTCTTCTGAATGAAGTGCGTGTTTTTAAGCACATTCGCTCATACAGTTAGAGCAGTTTTGGTATTTCAAGCTTCTATTTATAGTCGTCCATGCCTATCTCTGATAAAGCCTATTCTCCTAACTAGGGCAAAAAGCAGTTTTCAGAACTACTTGATACTTGGTACTTGAACGGCCCGTCCTCACCAGTGGTGCGGACTCCAGCATAATCGGCATTTTTCGGAAATTTGCTGGTTAAGCCATTGCGGCCCGGAATCCCGAGGACAACCTGGCCAAAGTCTGCCCCAGGTCGTCACCACGACAGGCAGTCGCAACCCTTGTGGATCAGAGGGAGATTTGCCACTATGCGACTGGTTCGGTACCAGGAGGTGGCGGATCCTGGTATTGGTTTACTCTTACCTAGGTTTCTTGATGGAAGCGCCGAACTCCTTCTCAGCTTGGGAGACCCTGCTAGGGGATGAATCCCCCCGCTGCACATCGCAGTCCGACATCTAGGAACACCTCCCAGCTACGATGAGGCGGTAAACTGTTGGGAGATCTTCAGAATTATATGCTATAAAATATTTTTATTTCAACTACATAGGGTTTAGTACATCAATGCATATCCCAGAAAGGTTAATACTTAACTGCTACAGAAACGTACTAAGACGAATCATGGCTTCAACCACTTCCGATTCAGTAAAGCATTTTGTGCGCGAAGAGTTAAGTATCGGTCTATCCAGTAACTTGCTATGCGTTGATTTTTAAGGCATAGATAAAGGATCTAGTCTGAGAATGGAAGGCGTAAAACTTCTTTCCTTGTTTTATAAATTTTCCAGTGTGTAATTCAATTTCCTAATGTTGCAGCAACTTAGCACGATGTCATCGTCTCGCCACCAGACTGCAAGCTGGTACGGTGTACATCAATACATATAATGATACTGAGGTGTGTTATATTTACTCTATGTGAACTGAATGCTTGGATATTCTCATTATTGGCTTTCCTTCTACTTTCTGCTCCACTAATTACGACGATTCTCTTGAGACAGTAATCTTGGGAAACTTTTTCCTTCGTATCTTGGGATAACCATGGTAGGGCACAACCAGGTCATCTCCACAAGCAATGGCCGGTTTTTGCGAATTTTTAGGGAGGTCTTTTGTGTACATTGTTCGTTTGATAACCAGAACTTACATCTTACCATTGTAAGACAGAAAACATGGGGAGAAAATGAAGAGTAATAGGGAACAGTAGACATAGAATACTGTAAAATAACAATAAACATGAAAATAAAATGCAAATAAAGAATGAAATAAATATGATAAAACAGAAATGTCGTAGAAAAAATTGAAAGTTTGAAGAGGGATTTTCGTTATTCCAGGCATCTTTCTAAACCTCTGTGACTGTTACTTTTCATCTTTTCTTTTTTATTTTTGTTTTTCTCGTTATCTTACTTCCGCCGTTCACATTTAGGTGAACGTCCCATTCGGCGGTTACAAAAACTCCGGTCACGGTCGTGAGAACTGCCTTGATACACTTCGAGCCTTTTCACAGACAAAAGCGATCTACGTGAATATTCAGGACACGACTGAACACTGTTTTTAAAATGCTTTAAATCTCACATTGGTTGATGTAACATTAGTCGACGAAATCGAGTGAAATGTCTTGGCCTTCATAAAAACGGAGCTGTAAGTGAGAAGTCTCATCTGCTATTTGCAACCTGTCTCTAATAAAGTTGTTTTCGTGAAGTATGCCATTTTTCCTTCTAATTTTTATTTAAGATTTCCAAGCGTTACTTATTGTAGAACGTCAAGAAGACCACCACCAGTAAACAGTAAACGCCATAGGTTAAATCTGATAAATACTAAACAAAAAAAAAGAGGAAATATAAAAAAAACTGGCTGAGAGAATGGCAAAATGAGGGCCTCGATGAAGTAGTAGGTAACACGTAAAGCGCCATGAAGGGTAGTCTCAAGTTCGAATTTGGCCTGGGGTCTGAGTTTTGCTAACATCTTAGTATCATTGTGAGAGTATGTGTAGTTCCTCCACTTTTTTCCCACGCTCTCTAAAATTTTAGATGAACCAGTGAATGGAAATAAATCGAGTATTGCTCTTAAGGAATCACTCAATTTGCACCATAATCCTTGACCAGTTTGACAATAATTTGACACAATCTGTCTGTAAATGGCAAATTTCCTGCTGATAAGAGTACTAAGTATAAGAGTATAAGTATTAACTGAAACTTCCGCTACCGCTAAACCGTTGCAATCAAAATGGTATCGGTCCCAACGATGGATAGTCCATGATAGGACTGTAATGCAGGACCAGTCAAGCAAGTGTTGATAGCTCAACTACTGCGCATTTTTTAGACTACTATTACATCTACCAGGCTACGTTAACTTACTTTTTAGCAGACTTGTAACCGCAAGGTGAAACATTGACGTGTTCGCTCATTTGATCCCACTAACCATGAACAGGAAACCCCATTCGTCAATTTTGTTTATTTTTAAAATAGGATGTAAATATGCGGACCTCAGTGAGATTGGGAACTCCATCAGTGTTATTAATTGCGAAAAGATTTTCCTTGTTACAAGCAAAAAAAGAAGTTCATTGTTCTCATTTCTCATTGGTTCAATCCATGAAGTACTCTGTAATACATAAGAACCATTTTTTTTTTCTGGAAACTGAGTTTTATCTAGTCTCAACACTGATGATCTTTATCCTACCACAGCGATAAGCTAACAAGAGGTAACTAAGGACAGTAATGGGGCCAACCTTCGGGTGCCTTCTTGTTCTTCAGAGCCCCAACGATTTGAGTCGATCGTTCACAGCCGATCTCAGGATGTGGGGCTTCGTAGTCGCATCCAGTCGATGACTGGGATGGAATACCGCTTAAATGAAGTGACTTCACTCGGGAATGTTCTTTTGTACTAGGCAGTTCTTTACTGACTGTCCATTGATGGTGGGATTTTGAAGAACCATACCGTGATAAACATTAGGTTTAGAAATTATTCCTAAATTTCAGCTTGTGTCTCCAAAGCGGTGAATCTCAGCCCGAAATAAGCTGTACTCATTTTTGCCAACGTGAAATCAGTTCATTCATTTGAGATACCTAAAACTCTGGAATTCCGGAGGCGACAAACTCGTTGAAAGCAGTTCCAACTTCAGCTTGGTTTCTGGACACTCCTCGCACAGCATTTTGGTGGAATGGTTGAAGAAGTGGTAGGAAATAGGCGAGTGAACTCAAATCATTTCGTCTCTAAAGAGGGAGAACGGGACGAAGCTTTAGCCACAATGAAGTGCAACTGGTTACAACCTCGTGTTAGATTCCCAATGCAATACGATGTTGATACTTATGAAATGTGTCACTCAGTTGCAATACATCAACAAATAACCTGTTAAGTCGAAATTACATCAATGCTGGTTCTGTACCTCATAAATTGGCTATGAATTTGCAAATTTCGGTAGAACAAATTAGCCTAACTGGCCAGAGAAGGACTCGAAGATCGCGACGTAGCGCATCATTTTACTGCCTAACGTTAACAATCTAAGGCACGTATCCCGATCCATGGCTTCTCTAGTATGTAAGGATACAACCCTATTTTAATTCAACCTTAAGTAACAAATGACAGATCGGGTTAACTGCGACGTTAGGTTGTGCATTTGTTAACGGATAGGATTTGACCACAAAATTTCTAAATCAGTACAAAACCATTCCTAGAAATTCGAGAAAAAGCTTTCTGATCCGACTACTGATGATGGAATATATTGTCACTACATCGGAAAACATGAACCATAACTAACACTAGTGAATGAACCTCATTCTAAACGAAAACCGAGAACTAAACGTTATAAATCGTCAGATACACAAAAGAAGAGATGAGCCGAATGTGAATGAAATCGAATGAAATGCCCTCTTTGATAGCTGCCACTCCTCTTGCATGATAAGATAAGTGGCAAAGATATGGTGATGTCATTTAAGGAATTTCATGTTGTCATCTGGATCGCGATAGCGCATGTAGCGCATTGGTTAAAGGCGCTCCGCAATACACATGCGTTCGATTCCGTGCCCAGGCTCACCAAGTCTTCCATCCATCCGAGGTCGGCAAATTGGTACCAGAGCTGTCTGAGAGGATAGCAGCACTGAATTGATACATCAGTAGACCACCGCGAGCCATTGTATAAGCCCAGATATGCGTTCAATCACTTCTAGCGATGCTTCGTGAAGTCGAATGCACGGCGCATCACTCAAAGATTGATCAACGCAGAGAGCTTTATCGTTTGTCCTACTCATTTGGATCGCAATTGTAGTTGTAACGAAGGTGGCCCTGTATTCAGCCGTTGTCACCGCAACTGCTTCAGAAGCAGGAAGCGATCATCTAGCACTACAAAGGATAAGAAGGATAAAGCTCTCGGCGTAGTTCAATCCCTAAGGGATACGCCTTGCATTCGACTTCACTAAGCATCGTTGGAGGTGATTGAATGTATATCTAACCTTTACAATGACTCGCGGTGGCCTACCAATGCTGCTATCCTTCCAAATAGGTCTGGTACGAATTTGCCGTCCCAAGAAGGATGGAAGGCTTGATGAGCCACGGGCGCCGGTATCGATACCATGTGTATATTGCTGGACGCGTCAGACCGCTGCGCCACACGAGCACTATCTAGCACTACCGCTACATTATTCTTCGACTTCTGGATCTCTTACTTAATTGAATACTTGAATGGCCCGCCCTCACTGGTTTTGCGTGCTCCAGCATAATTTTCATTCCCTGCAGATTTGCTGGTTTAGCCATTGTGGCTCCTAGGAAACCCGAGGACAACCTGGCCAAAGTCTGCCCCAGGTTCTCACCACCTTAGGCAGCCGCGGCCCTTGTGGATCAGAGGAAGATTTGTCACCGTGCGATTAATTTGATACCAGGACGGTGGTGGACCTGGTATTGGTTTACTCTTAGTTGGACTTTCTGATGGAAGCGCCGGACTACTTCTCAGCTTGGGAGACCCTGCCGAGAAGACGAATCCAGCTTGAAATTGGTTTTTCTACAAGATTTTTTAAAAGAGCCACTTTCCAATGTCAATAGATTTCTAATACACTATACTTAATACACTATACTTCTAATAATATCTTCTAATATTTCTAATACACTGTACTTAATACTTAATAGACTTTTTGCTTAACTTGTTACCTACTGCTTTTGTTGGATAAATGCAAGAAAGAGAGAGTGAGAGGAATAGAAGGGATGAGAGAGGTTAGCTGTTTCATTCTATTTTGTCTCCAGTTGTAATGCTCGCTTTTATGACTTCCTGCTCTCAATAATAGTTTTCTTGAAATATATTAAAGCGGTGGGTTGTAAAATTCGGAAAAATCGTCTAAAAATACGGCATAGCTTTACCAAAAGAGAAATGCTCCTACTGAGGAGCACAAGCCGTTAAGGTGCTTTGGCTTTATTTAGAGAACTTGAAGTTCTGTCGTTTCTAGAAAAACTCCCGTAAGATCTACATCGTGTTTTGTCCCACAGGATCTCAATGGAGCAAGTTACCTCTTCGTTCATATTATTGGATATTACGGTAGATATTAGGTAGACAAGGGTGCTTGTGGCACGGTGGTCGGAGGCGCCCTGCAACACACACGTGGAATCGATCCGTGCTCCCGCGGCCCATCGAGCGTTCCATCTCGCTGGGGTCGGCACATTGGTACCAGACTTGTCTGCGAGGACAGCAGCACTGGCTGGATACATCAGTAGGCCACCGCGAGTCATTGTAAAGGCCAGATATGCATTCAATCACCTCCAACGATACTTAATAAAATCGAATGCATGGCGCATCTCTTAGGGATTGATCAACGCCGAGAGCTTTATCCTTTATCTGTTATTACGATAGATCGAGGCACTTAATCCAACCTTCTGTATCTGTGGATTGAATCATGGACACGTGGTTTTAATCTGCATTACTAACGAAGATTTCCTACTAAATGACATTCCCTTGACATGTTTGGTAATAACGATGAAGAAATCACGAACCATTGATATAATTCACACAAGATTTCGACACATGTGTCTCTAAAGTGGATTCATATTTTAAGTAATGAATTAAGTGGAAATTGGATGGGCAGGAAGTGCAGTTGTTAGAGATTTGGTGGATAAGTAATTATGGTCATTGGTTTCACGCCAGCATAGGCCAAACTACCCTACCATAATCACTTCGCGCTCAACAAATTCGTAACAGACTTTTCTGCCAAAAGCTCGCTTCTATCCATGAAGGTTGGCATCGGAGTCTGGTGAAGAACTGGCAACACCCTAACAAAGCTATCCTAGGGTTCCTGGGGCACGAGCGAAAACCCAGGAGTACGCACACCCATCTAAAACGCGAAGAGTCTCGCAGAAGAGTGATGTGAGATAAGGAAATGAAGTAAAGAAGTAGGGGAATCTGTAGAACGGAAGTCGAGTTATATAAACGTAAGAAATATAGAAACTATATTATAGATGTAACTTCAATGATGCTGAGATATTTGCAAAACTCCGGACCGCAGGTGTATGCGATGGGGAACGAACGCACCATTCTCCTTTCCGGGGAGTAGCGCGTCTACCACCACACCACGCGAGTCCGTTGTTTCGCCTGTCTCTCAGCTAGTTCTATCGATCTTTTGCCATCAGCAATCACCCGTCAGCGGGATTGATCTGAGGAGCTCAAATCGGCAACGAACCCTTTTAAGCTGAGGTTGCAGTTATAAGCACAATTTCAGCTTATTATTTACTGCCTACTCTTTTTAACGGCAGAGTATATATTGCGAAATATATAAATCTTAGATTCATTAAGTTACATACCATGCCGTTAAAAAGAGTAAGCAGTAAGTAATAAGTTAAAATTATATTATAGACGATTAAAAGCAGAAATCTTGTTCAAAACGAAATCAAATACTCATGCAATATAGTGAACATGATATTTTCTAAGCTTACGAGCAATGAACTGAACACAAGAGCCCATTCTTCAGCGATTGCGAGCTCTTATGGAGCGTAGCATTCTTAAAGGTTCTCGAAGTGTTGCTCTCCCTGCACGGACTGCTTCTAATAAATTAGTCGTTTCACAACATGGAATGATCTTCAGATATTTTTGAAAATCTGTCCTGTATAAAAAAGCACCGTCGAGTGCGACTCTTCATTCGATCGCTGCTCCACACACTGGATTCGATTCGATGCGACGACGAACAACCACATTGCGAGGACAACCGCCTGTTGATCATCGATTCTGAACAGTCAATTCGATTATGAAGAAGACGAAGGTGTTGAGGCGTTTGCAAGTAAATCTTTTTATTAACCTCGTGTTTGCTTATTGGTCGAAGAACGCCTTGATCTCTAGATATTCCGATCCACATCAAACGACACCGCTCGCGAATTCCACTGGCATTCGGATGCTTGGACTGTGTCGTGACCCTTGTCACGGATTCCATTTGATAATCACGTTGTTTCCAGTTCTCGCTGCCGGTTTTCTTTGCTGGCCGGTACAACCAGAGTGTGTCCGCCTGAGGTGGCTGCGAGGTGGCACGAGTTCGGAATCATCCGGATTGCCTACAGCATAAGGGAAGACGATGGCGGTAAATCAAAGGAAGAGTATCAACCGATATAAATTACTTGCTAGATTTTTCATATCGAGTATCGTGCGTCCTCCCACTCATAATGAACACATTGACATGTTAAATCTAGATTCTACTGTTACATCTCTTGTAGATAACATGTTACCTTATCGGTTTTTCTGGAGTGTTCCATTTCGAGTGACGAAGGTGACTCTGTCTCACTTCTTTTCTCTCATAATCTTCTTTAGTTATCACTATTCCTACTCCAATTCCCAATATAATCAGCCGTATTTCATTCCTTCTCTTCTCTCTCTCTCCCACCCTCTTTCTTGGTTAATAGAAAAATTGACCGTTACTTATGCTTACGACCTTACTTTGTCAACAGTTCATTCATTTATACAAAGAACTGGTAACGAAGCCGTCATGAGCAAATTCACTCCAAATTTCTATGCGAAAAAAGACGTACAATGAATCGCCGAGGTTAAACTTGGTCTATTCTCGTACAAATGTTCTTCATGTTCCGCCATATTCCGACTTTCTTCAGAAAAGTTTCCATGTTTTCGGACGCTTGCTACAATCATTACTATCGTGAGCCATGCTGCTCAGTGAAGGTCATCGTTCCAGGTAAATAAAGATAACCGGTACAAATATACATTGTTTAGTATCTTCATGACTATTGCTATCTAATCAGCGTTACGGTAAGACCCATAGTGAAGGTCGGAGTGAGAACACATAGTAATCTAATCATGTTCACTCACTTCTGACGATTTACTCTTATTGGTGTCACTGAGACGAGACTTTTATCACTTGCTATCAATTGTTGTTGATTTTTTGATTGGTATTTATCGCTTCCAGATACGATGTGTGATAGCATGTTCAATTTTGAGAACACCTTCCAGCAACAACAACAACATGTCTCTGCTGGTTGGTGAAACAGCGTTGACTATTTTACTTCGAAGGATTAAAATCATTGTTAGATAAATAGTAATTAAACCCAGATTTTAGATTACTTGTACATACTACATACCGTAGCAGTTATTAGTGTTCTTACTACTAAAAGCCTAGCGTTTACCCTGAGTCAGTACGTCGCACATTAAATGAACAGCTAGTAACATGGATTTCCTTTCAAATCGACACTAACATCAACGTTTCCAGAGGGTTTCGATTTCCACCAAACCGGCTGCTCAGAAATGGATTTGCTAATGCAGACGCTGGAAGAGAATCAAGATTTCTTCGGTGAAGACTTTCTTGTAAAGCCCATTGCTTTGTGCCCTACTTAACCTAACGGCAAAATACGAGAAGTATTCTCTTCCCAAATCAATGCACTCTCTTAGACACGTGGATTCCTAATTTCAAGCTAGAACATGGATGACAGAGTATATCAGTTGATTAGCTGGCAATCCACGTCCGTCATAGTATAGCTGATTTCTTTCACTTGTGTTGTGTTCTTCTTCCAGATTCCACGTCTCAGGTGTGTTGATTCCAGATTCTACAACGTTTCTCGCTTCACCGTCGTCAATGAGGACACAACGTTGTTACGACAACAACTTCAATGCGAACCATAATCACCAGCATCAACATCAACATCAGCAGCCGTCGCATCTGTTTGGTAACGACTTCTATAAGTCATAGTAAGTCCTAGTATTTCAACGGAACTTGGACAATAGTGAATGAATCGAAAAGTTTAGAAAGAGGAATCAAATCCTGCCAAAAATCAATGGGATGATCGGTTTGCCTCCCAAATTCCTATGAAAAATTTCATGAACTTTTCTTCGCAGTTACTTATGGCATAAAATGTTTGAGATAACAGTAAGTAGGTTTCGAAAATGTCCACTATTTGTGCCTTGCACAACGAATGGCTGAACATTTAGAGGATTAATAGATTGTTCCAGAAATTCTAATGTTTAGAGATTAACTCAGCATTTTGATCTCTTCCTATATTCCAGCACAACAAGCCAAAGTCAAGTCCAGTACAAGCTTACTTGTGCCGATACTCCACCATCAGGTCCATCAGCTCCTGTGCAATTCGAGGAGTTCTCGTTGGCCACACAACTTCCAATACTTAATGGGTACACTGCTGCATATAACACCGCTGAAACAACAAAAACCGTCACGAATTTTCCAGAATTTGAGGTATTGGCTTTCGTCAGTTTCCACCACATTCACAGTGCATTCACACCATGGCAAGATGACGACATAACAATGAAAGCGGATTGTGTCATAAACAATACCTACTTACATGGATACTTGGATGACCCGTCTCTACTGGTTGTACGGGCCCCAGCATAATTTCCATTTCTCGGAGTTTCGCTGGTTTAGCCACCGTGGTTCCTTGGCGAGGTCAGTCTAACCAAAATCTGCCCCAAGTCGTCACCACAAGAGGTAGTCGCCGCCCTCGTGGATCAGAGGGAAATTTGCCACCATGCGACTAGTTTGATACCAAAACGGTGGTGGATCTTGGTATTGGTTTACTCTTAGCTGAGCTTTCTGATGAGAACGCCGGACTCCTTCTCATCTTGGAAGATCCTGCCGTGGGAATTAATTCCCACAGTGTACATCGCAGCCCGCACCCAGGAACACCTCCCAGCCACGATGACGTAGTAAACCGTTGGGAGCGTCATAAACAATATCTGGACAAATTCAAAGACTTCCCTGAGTATTCTTACAGTAGCGAAAGTAGTTCAAGAATATCATCTCATACATGTTACCTTTGAAAACACTGCAGTTTCCAAAGGCGTGTGTAGCGCAATGGTCAGAGGCGCCCTGCAATACACACATGGGATTAATTCCCGCGCTACTGGTTTACCCACTCTCCCATGGACACCAGCACTGGCCCAATACATCGGTAGGCCAGTGCGAGTCATTGTAAAAGCCAGATATGCATTTAATCACTTCCAACGATGCTTAATGAAGTCTAATGCATGGCGCATCCCTCAGGAATTTATCAACTCCACAGGCTTTTTTTATCCTCTTACAGTTTCCAAAATTAGCAACTCGTTCTCTCGTCTTAGAAAGAACTTTCAGTCTTTGGAACACTACTCCGCTCAATATTTCTTTACAACACCTCCAAACACTCCTCCAAATGTGCTACCAGTAACGGCGGCTTCGATGGCAGTACCAACTGTGCAGAATCTTCGGCGAAAACCCACCGCTCCTTCTCCAGCATCCGATCGAACGCCCACAATTCGCAAGCTGCTTCAGCAGAAGAAGAAACGAATGACGGTTAGGACTAAACTTTTTTCTCCACAGAATCATTTCGCGTTTAGAAGATTTCTAGGCTGTTCCATGTCATGTGAACTCCGTATGTAGCACGTGCCAAACTCGTACCACCTCCTTATGGCGTCGAAATCATCTTGGAGAAATTGAATGCAAGTAAGCTGACATTTCTCAGAGATCTCCCACCTCCCCATGGGATTACATAGTTTGGTTATTCTGTCCTTAAATCACGATAAGAACGTATATGAGAATTAATGAAAGTAGTAATCTTTCGAGTAACTTCTTTTAGCGCTTGCAATCTCTACTTTCGCAAGAACAACTGCAAACGACCGGTGACACTTCGCAAGGACGAAATCATGAAAAGAAAACGGAAACCCCGGGTTGACTCTAGCCATCCAACTGGGATTTCCATGACAAGCACAACTCTCGACATAAAACCAACTATTACCAGACAAACCCCTCGTTTGTTTACGTGAACAATAGTCATGTTCTCGTCCCATGATTTTACTTGATTGTAAGCATAATTTAACTCACATTTAATCTCTGTTATATTTGTTAGTACCTTAATAAATATTTAAAATGATAAAAACACTCGAAATACACTACAACAATGTCTTGGAACTCAACAACGCATGTTTCATGGGAAGCACTAAAAGTGATAAGGCTGTCTTATATGATAGCGTAGCCAAGCCACTCCAACGGAAATGTACAGCATCACCTCAGTGAACCTACGAAAATCTGACATTTTCTCTGTAACCAACCATAAACCACCACAGACCCAATCGTAAGGAAATTTACGAAAGTACGCCAAGCGAAATCAATGCATTGTGGAAGTTGGAAAGGCTAGCACTGCTGGACTAAAGCATGGACTAGACATGCACACCATAATGAAATAAGTTGAGTGCATTTACTCTCCTATGGCTACAAAAGTGCTAGACTAGGCTTCCAATTCTATCTCGACGATCTGCCAAGTACTGAAGACATTCTCCTATAATATCAGACTTCATTTTCGATCATGCCACACTGACAAACCAGATCTACTCCATCGATGAATTTGAATTTAAAGACAACTGATGCAACAAAGCGAGGAATTTGCCTATTGTTCCATACCATCTTCAAAAGTACAGTGGCCTTCCTACATCGACTGCTGTATCCTCTAGTACACTCCTAACTAGCAGCACATTGTACTGCAGCTCCTAACAACTTGAAAAAGAATGCTGAATTTCGTAGGAACAGAAAATGGAACGCATACACCACGAAATGAATGTGTGCGCAAAAAATTTATATGGACAAGTGGTCACAGTCGCATACGACGGACGATAAGTTATGCGTAGCGAAATAAGATGATAGAGAGTGTATCGCTAAAGAAAACAACATCAACTTAAATGGTGCTGAGGTATTTGCAAAGCTCCGGACCGCAGGTGTATGCGCTGGGGGACGAACGCGTTATTACCCCTTCTGTAGACTAACACCACCACCACATAATGCGCGACCTTCCTTTTGCCCTTCTACAGCTAGGTTTTTATCTACCACTGCCGTTAGCAAGCACCTGTCAATGAGGATGATGTGGGGACCGATTAGAAAGCTAACATTTCGACTACAGCCTCAGCTTACTAGATTCATTCCTGACTTGGGCTCCCGAGATCAATCCCATTAAAGGGTGACTGCTGTTGGCACTGGTAGATAGAAAACTATCTAGCAAAAAAAGGAAACGAAAAATGCGAATGGTGCGGCCATGAACGCGTTAGCTTCCGTAAAGGGTAATAAAGCGCTCGTTCCCTACCGCAAACGACTGTCGTCAAGAGTTTTGCAAATATCTCAGAACCATTGTGGCCGTACCACACATAATACCCTACCGTGAAAAACTGTAATAGGAACTAAGCAAAAAGTGTACACCAACTTATTTTCAAATTCACAAATACTGTCGACTATACCATACTAAATAACAATTTATTAACAAAAAATTGTAACAAGTTAGTCTTGTGCAATAGTTGTCTTCTCAGACACGTAGATTCCATCAAGGAACTTCCGAATATCTTTCTCTTTAACAGATGTCGACTGTTGAATGCGAGCAGCTAAATTTCACGGATGCAGAAAAACAGAACGAAGATAAGGGTAATAATAGTAATCATACCAGCTTGAGATACTAATTGGATGTCATTTCCTTCGATAATAAGCTCGTCCTTTTGAGAGGTGGACAACGTGGCAGTGACTCCTTCAGGAAGCGGCACGCGACGAACAATTTTCTCACCAAGAAAGTTACGAATCTAAACCATGCAAAGTTAATTATTCAATGGTAACTTTTTATCTGCTGCCTATTACAATCCTTCACGGCAGGATATTATTTGAAATACAACCATAATGGTGCTGAGATGTATGCAAAACTCCAGACCGCAGTTGTCTGCTGTTGAGGACGAACGCTATAACCCTTTCCGGAGGGTAACTCGTTCACCACGACACCATGCGGATCCTTCGTTTCGCTCATCTCTCAGCTAGTTTTCTATTTACCAGTGCCATCAGCAATCACCCGTCAACGGGAATGATCTGAGCCCGCGAAACGAAGGATATGTATGGTGTCGTGGTGGACACGTTAGCCCCAGAAAGCGCAACTGCGCATTCGTTTCCTATCGCAAACACCTGTGGTGCTGAGTTTTGAAAACATTTCAGCACCATTATGGTTAACTAGTTAATTGTTGAACTAACTCTACAGTAGAACATAACATCACTACAAAAAGCAATAAGTTGACCTTATCATGACCACTTTTAAGCACAAACGTCAGCAACTGTACTACACGAAATTCAGATAACTCTACAAAGCAACGCGGATTAGCAAAGAATACTTACCTACTTGGTACTTGAACGGCCCGTCCTCACTAGTTGTGCGGGCCCCCGCATAATCACCATTTTTCGGAGATTTGCTGATTAGGCCACCGTGGTTCCCTGGAGTCCCAAGGTTAGTCTAACCAAAATCTGCCCCAAGTCGTCACCACAAGAGGTAGTCACCGCCCATGTGGATCAGAGGGAAATATACTACCGTGCGACTTTGATACCAAGACGACGGTGGAACCTCGTATTGGTTTAGTCTAAGCTAGGCTTCCTGATGGAAACGCCAGACTCCTTCCAAACCTGGGAGACTGCCGGGGGATGAATCACCCCGCTGAACATCGCGGTCCGACACCTCCCAGCCACGATGAGGCGGCAAACCGTTGGGAGGTAGCAAAGAATACCGAAAACAAAATAAGGCCATACATAAGTCGCTATCATACCCTCTGGTTGCATGGTTACACTTCAACAGAAGAAGTGGGAACAGCGCATAAAAACAAAGCAAAGAGTAGCGAAACTAAGACTAACCTCTACAGTTCTTCCGGCATCCTGAAGGGTAACATTGATAGGAAAGTGAGCATATACCGATCGCATCTTGTAGCGGAAACCTTTCGTGACCCCCTTCACCATATTTTGAATATGTGAGCAAACTGTACGAATGGCAGCGAGTTCCTTACGTACCCCAAACCATTTCCGAACACGAAGTTGGTTCTTGCCAACGCGCTCCATCTATGAAAATAAGACAGTTTGGAAGGAGAAACTCTGATTTCCCCACAGTATACAAGTAAATGCCTGCATTAAGATAAGATCGAGTTCAAATTAAGGGTATCTCTGGCAGAAGGACAACTCAAAACTACGTCAGCATCACAATATATACTTGCTGAAAAATTCTGAAAGTTATTCTCAGCTCAAAAATCGTCAACACATCACTCAAACATGTTCCATAGCAATGCAACTAAGCAATGACCTAAAACTCGTAGTCCAAAAACGAGTCCTACTTTAGGAGTCTTTTATGGCCAACGTTCTGAAATCTGGGGATCATAGTTTTACAATAAGGTTAATGGAAGACAATTTAGATAAAGTTAATTCCTTTGAAGAAGGGCTTCTGAGGTTAGTCAAGGTTCGAGTCTTTGGTAGGGATTATCAATAACATCACTGTTTTGAGAGGCACAGATCCTAGCATCCGAAAATCTCACATTTCACAGGTGGATATTTATTTTTCAAGTGTTTGGTCCGTTACGCGCCAAATTCTCCCATAGAATATGACTCCGCTAACATTGTTTAAACACACCTCCATAACATTCATAAATGGAAGTGAATGAAGAAGTTCGAAAGGAAAGGGTTCCTAAGTCTTTATTAATCTTGCGACTACTCAGTAATCACATAAAAAAAAAACGAAACATGGCGACTTACCTCCATATGAAGATGACGGAAGTCACGCCTAAGAGTTCCACGAGGTCCAGTAACATGCACAATTCGATTTTTTACGGTGAACGTTACACCTTCAGGAAAACTCACTGTGTCACTGGATTCAACCAGCTTCATACTGGGTTACCTGTAGGATGCGACTGTAATAGAAGCAGTATAATGACCATTACACTACAGTAACGCCCAAAAAAGCAGCAAACAAGTTTTTTTCCACTACCTAGCACCTTATAAATCATCCATATGCTCATACTTAGATATTCGGATGGCCCGTCCTCACTACTTGTAAGGGACCCAGCATAATTTTCATTTTTTCGGAGTTTTACTGGTCTAGCCAATGTGGTTCCATGGAATCCCGGGATCGGCCTAGCCAAAGTTTGCTCCAGGTCGTCACCACCACAGGCAGTCGCCGCCCTGGTGGATCAGAGGGAGATTTGCCACCACGCGACTTTGATACCAGAACGGTGGTGGATCCTGGTATTGGTTTACTCTTAGTTGGACTTCCTGATGGAAGCGCCGGACTAGTTCTCAGCTAGGGAGACCCTGCCGTGGGCATGAATCCCCCGCTGTTCATCGCAACCCGAAACCCAGGAGCACCGCACAGCCACGATGAGGTGGTAAGCGGTTGGGAGAAAAACCCATACGAACGACTTAATCCTACAATTTAGTAAATATTGATTTACAAGTAGTAAAATCTGCCATTAACAACAATTAATAGAACAGATCTAACCGACAAACCAAAAATTCTATCAAGGAATTCACCAAGTGTGGTAAATTCGCTCTATTGTCACTGCGTATCAATACGATTAATGGAGTTGATGCGCACTTGGATTGATATACAGGCACTAGATAAAGGTCTTACACGGATCGCTTTTGCCACATATTTGTATTCGTCCACACAATTGTACGGGGGTTAAAACAGCACCTGGCAGGACCTAGTACTGCCACCCTCTTTGAAGTACAAGTGCCATTTCCAGTGTAGTATTAGTTCTTGTTGGCTCTGTGATGTTCTGATATAATATCCAATAACCAATGTTTCTCGCCAAGTGTTGCAACTCATTTTCACTATGTTAGACTCGTTTTCACTGCTCTTTTCAAAGTATAATTGGATTTCCTTTTTTCAGACATCAAGATGAAGGTCAGAGTGAAGCCTAAGGCATGTTTTCTTCAGATATGCAGCTTTACGTAGTGTTAAGATGCGGACTCATGATGTTTAGTGTGTCGTGGTTTCAACCTAATTTAAGCGGTTCTTTTAGTATGAGGCTGGAGCTGCGGTGAATTACATATCACGTCGTGCCGCTTTGAAGAAGCTCCAGTTATCATTGAGAGATTTCAGACGTCTTTGTATTCTGAAGGTACTATCTCTGAATAGTAGTAATTTATCCCTGCAGTATCTTGTAATATGGGACGTTTTCTGATTAAGGAGCTGTTTAGGGTATATATCCTCATGAACCAGCTCATAAGAAGAAAGTCAATAAAGGATCCACTGAGAATAGAGTTTGGTATTATCGAAAGGATATAAATTTCTTGGCACATGAGCCAATCATTAACAAATTCAGGGAGTACAAGGTTCGTGTTGTTTTCTAGTACTTCTTTGCATAACTTTGTTCATTGATATCAGTTCTAGCCAACATATTTTCTTCGCTCTTAGCGTAGATGCCTTAGCACTTCAGCTTGTTTCGTTACGCTGTAAATCGTCATCCATAGTGAGGGTTATAGAGGTTAAGTGTAGATTTGCATATGGCTTGGCTATTTAGCGTCTTTTCTCCATATTGATAAGTTCAATTCTGATCGAATCTGATTCTTTCTGAACTCTGAAGTTATCGTGCTGAAACCAACGTCTTCACAGCCACGACGTTTCGATACTCAGGATGAATAGATGATTGTGGCCCTTTGTATGCGTATAATTTGACTTCACTTATTCTTTTAAGGTTTTCCTGAGAAAGTTGAATCACTACAAAGCGAAAAGAGATGAGTCGAAAGTGAAGAAGTTGTACGCAAATAAACCTGAGTATAGTCTGGACCGCGTTGTCAAGGAGAGGTATATCTTACGTGTTGTGTGTTTAAACATGTAGATTGGAGTGTAGTCATCTAGTGTATCGTAGTTGGTCTCAAAAGAAGACTTCCAGATATCCTACTTTCGGGTCAGCTATTCGCGACCTGGACGATGCTTTATGTTTGTGCTTCGTTTTTGCCACTCTGCCCCACACCCGAATTCTAAAGGAAGGCATTATCGATGCTTGTCGTCGCCTTACTGCTGAATTTATGCACTATGTGATTGAAGCACATGCGCTGAGAAACACGTTCATATCAATAAAAGTGAGTTTGTGTCTTCCATCAGGGTAGCAACTGTAGTCAATCTTTAGATTTGTGAGTGTTATTAATAAATGACCAACAGTTACTGAGAGATATCGTATAGTGAAGGTTCTAAGTGCCAAATACCACCAATAGTGTACGTAAGATCGTGTTGAAATAAATACAAAGTTTTCTTACTTAAAAATTTATCGGAAAAAGCGAAGCCTTCATGGAACTGATTTATAGAGGTATAATTAACAACGAACATTGCTTCTCTCCACTTTGTTCGTTTTGTACCATACATCTCCTAAGTTAAAAATAAAAGGATAAAGCTCTTGCTGTTGATCAATCCTTGAGAGATGCACCCTGCATTCAACTTCATTAAACATGCTTGGAGGCTTGGTGGGCCTGGGGCGCGGGGATCGATCCCATGTGTACTACAAGGCGCCTGCGACCACTGCGCTACACACACCAAATATTCTGAATTATTGAATATAATTCCATTTCGTTACTGCATTCATCTGATATTTCGAAATTTGGATATAAATTCGATGTGAATTTGGCTTACAAGATCACTTAAAGGAGCCTTCCCTGCTGTTGTCTTTAGTAAATCAGTATTCATGAAATCTCGACTACCATTTAAGCTGCATAATTAGGTACCCCTGGTTCTTGGCCTTATAGAATGCTGTGATTTTAGGGAATATATTACCAAGCAGAAATATGCGGTGAGAAGGTAACGTGGATCGTTCCTCACGATCGAGGCCTTCCACATGTTACCGACGTTGATTTCACTGTTATGGTTAGTTAGCTGTTACCATTTAAGAGTAATAAATGTTTGGGTGTTATGGAGATTTCAATTAAAACTTTCAGGTTACTTTTGCCGAATTTTATGTGGCAATGTTAGGATTTGTAAATTTCCGATTGTATCAGATGGTTGGACTCTATTACCCTCCTCAAATCCAAACAGGTCAAAACACTATTGCAGCAGGTTAGATTTCTCTTATTTGAAATTTCCTTATTTGAAATTGATTTTCTCTTATTTTTTTTCTCTTTTCTCTTATTTTCTTTCTTTTTTCTCTTATTTCTTATTTCTCTTATTTTCTCTTATTATCTATTTCCTTTTTCATCACTATATATACTGGTGGTGGATTGTAACCTTGATTTCAAAGACAGTAGGGTAGATTGGAAATCAGCCATGTCCGATATTTTGGTGGCGATCGTTAGGTTCGTTCGAATAGGAATCCTGAGCCCCCTTTTTAATGTGTAGTACGTCCTTTTGTTTTGCGATTATTTGAATATAGACAATGATGACGAAGAACGAATAGAGAAGATATACAGCTTAGCTCGACCCTTGGCAAAACGAGCTGGAGCAGAGAACGAAAATGATGAGGTCCTTCTTATACTTCCTTTAATGTTCAACTTTAAATATTTCGAAGATGGAATTCGTTCAGGAAGCTATAGAATTGTTTGGGGACGATGACAATATTCTGGCTGAGAAAGTCAAAGAGGCAAACTTGATTAAGTAAACAATTATTGTCTCCGCCCCAAGCTGGTGTCCGGCTTCCTATTCCTTCTTTTAGAACTCTATTCAAGGGACTTGTTTTCTTCTTAAATCGTGAAACACCTAAAGAAGCTTTGACACTGATAATAAGGAACTGTGGAGGAATTGTTGGTACGTTGGTCGTATTTTCGTCCTATAATTCAGTACTAAGTGTTATTGTTTATAGGGTGGAGTGGAGGTCCAACCAATCTAGAAGAGTCTAGCAACTCCATAACTCACCAAGTTGTAGATCGTCCTATGTCCAAATTCGACATCAATCGGTACCTTTTTATAATTCTAGTTCCAATTTGTTTTTATCGTTTACGTGTGATTCCTGAATTGCATTCAACCACCTATTTTTCATCTCTAGTTTCGTTTTTGCTTTTAGTTTAGTGGTGATAGATTTTACTGTAGGCGCTATATCCAGCCTCAGTGGGTGTTTGACTGTCTGAACGCACGTCGGATGTTACCTACAGAAAAGTATGTCTTTTGGTACCGTCATAGTAGTATTTATAATTACTTATGCTTAATAACAGATATATGGTTGGTGTACAATTACCGCCGCACTTCTCCCCGTTCACTAAACATAAGCAAGGAGATTATGTGCCACAGGAAAGACTAGAGGAGTTAAGGAGCCTTGGACAAGGTCTCCACTGCATATTCTTTTAAATACAATTCGATGTATTTAACGAAAGGTTTACGCATATTTTCTAAATAGACATCGGTGGTCTTCTTGAAAACGAACCAGTACTGCCAGCAGCTCCGAAATCCAAGAAGTTAAAAAAGGTTGAAGAAGAACCAAAGGGCATGAGAGCTACTCTTGGAAAGATGCACAAAACCAATAAACAACTCGAGATGAATCAACAAGTTAGTGAATCCATTTCGGTATTGACATCTTTCTTATTCAAGTATTTCCTCTTTTCTAGTTTTTTCTCTGAAGAGAAATAGTAGTGAATTGATGCAAAGTAGTAACTTTACTGTAAAAATTATAGCACTCTGACGTAAAAATGCGAGAGATGATGATGGCGAAGAAGCACAAGCGGGTATACCATAGCATACGTCAGAAAATGAGAAAAGACCAGAAAGAATGCCTGAAGTTGAAAGATAAGAAGGCGAAAATCGAAAGTAGAACAGGACTGACTAATTAAGTTATGTCTTGTAACACTTGCTTCTCATTTTAAGCTATCATTAAGCTTCTTTAGATTACCGAATTCTTAGACTTTGAGTCTTTTGTTACTATCAGTCTTCACTGTTTTTGTTATACAGAGACCCTTCACCTCGGTCTATTAGTACTTCTACTAGCCATTAATACTGTTAATTGTTGAGTTTCCCGTACTTTTTCTCTACTCGTTCTTGTTTCTACGTTTGTTGGCTCTGCATCGTTGTTATTTCGGACTCACCATGTAAAACGTCTGGTGGTATACGAAGATTCTCCGCAACTACTTTACTTCTATGGAAACTAAACCTTGTAACAAACGTGTGCATACAAAGACTGATTAGTTAATCTAGGTAGAATGCGATTTTATTTTTTGAAGACAATTGTTATAGACCACCTATCCTTACTAGATGCACTATACTGAAAACTAGTTACTACAGACCTAAATAAGTTACTTTCATGCGAACCAGTGGTTCCACTGGCACTCTTCTGTCCATTGTGCAACACAGATAAAACACCAGTCCATTTTACACACTATGCAATGCATGTGCGTACAACCTTCGTAACGCTCAGTATTTGCACCGCATCCTGGACACTTCCTTAAGTAGGTACGTAATAGGGTAAGTACATCTCTCTGTACTAGTGAGACGCTAGTTCTGGAGACCAAGTTCAACATTCATTTGTATCAGCATCAACGGATCTTATTTTCTGTTGTTCACGGTGTAAATATATCGTCTACCTCAGGAACTGGGTACACTAAACAAGGTGCTAAATTAAGGCTTAAGAGTGCGTGTTCATCAGTATACTTTCATACGATGTACTTTTGGTATTTTAGATGTTCTCAACTTAATGGGGTTTTAAGGTGAACCTAAATCTCGTGATACAAAGAAGTTGAATATGTTCTAAAAACTTAAGGAAAGAAACAGAAGAACCTGGGGAATGTGGAAAACGGAGATTTTAAGGAAACAAGTGGAAGAGGCATTCCATGGAGTGGAAAACAAAAAAGAAATGGATTGTCATATCTGTACACGGACGACAGTTGTTTGCATTTAATTCAATGCAAACCCCAAGCGACTCGAGAACGACGGGTTTGGTCTCGCGCGGTCGTCGCGAAAAATTGAGGATAACCACGGGAAGGTTTAAGCATCGATAGAATATTTGCGAATAACAAACGATGATATAGTTAGCCACTATTATAGCGTATAGTGGTAGTTTAATATTGATTAGTAGCAAATCTAACTTGAAGTGCCATACAAACACCTACCTGGTAGTTGCTTGTATTGTTGTCGTTGAAGGATCGTCAGTGCCACAAATGCAGTCAATAGACTTGCATAATCTAAACAAAGGTCCTATCATCTCGTTAAGCATAATCTAGACGGAGTTCATATGATCTCTCAGCTTTTGTCATAAACATGCTCTCGCACGATAATCTGCTCCAGTTTTCCTTCACGAACAGTAAGATGGAAACTTGAAAGAGCAAATTAAGCCAACTGAGCAGTACCGGCAGAACAGTCGTAGGCAGTCTGGGCAAGACGTCCTTCCATCATCGTTTTCAGATTCCCAGAAAAACGATGAATTACAATCAGGGTACGGACAAAACACGCCTGCAAGATAGCATTAGTTGCTTCAGTTCAACAGAAAAATAAACTTACAATTCTACCTTGGTTATCTAATGTGATCAACTTTTCTGTAGCCATTCTTTGATACGTTTGATACTTCTCTTCACCCAATACGCGAAAATGATGTGCGTCGGCCACACATCCTATAAATATTCATCTCCTATCGCAATACTTGTCATAGTTTCTGCTCTTTCATTAGTTAATATGGTTGGGTTTATGCCACAACACCCTCCCAACGGTTTACCGCCTAATCGTGGGTGGGAGGTCTTCCTGGATGCCGGGCTGCGATGTACTGCGGGGGCTTTCATCCTCCCGACAAGGCCTCCCAAGCCAGCCCAGCTAAGAGTAAACCGATACCAGGATCCAGTTTGGTCTTGGTCTCAAACTACTCGCATAGTGGCAAATCTCCCTCTGATCCACAAAAGCGGCGACTGCCTGTGGTCGCCGAGTGTGACAACCTGAGGAAGATTTTGGTCACGCCGACCGTGGGACTCCAGGGAACCATGGTGGTTAAGCCAACAAAACTCCGAAAAATGGAGATTAGGCTGGGGCTCACACAACCAGTAAAAGCGAGCCGTCCGAGTATGTATGCTGCAATATGCTCGACGATGGTGAACAAGTCTTTACTTGGAATCTTGGATAGCCCGTCTTCACTGGTTGTGCGCGTCCCAGCACGACCTCCATTTCTCACAGCTTTGCTTGTTTAGCTATTGGAGTTCTCTGGAGTCCTTGAGGTCAGCCTGGCCAAAGTCTGCCCCAGGCCGTCACCACTACATATAGTCGCCGCCCTTGTGGATCAGAGGGAGATTTGCTACTATGTGACTAGTTTGATAGCAGGACGGTGGTGGATTCTGGTATTGGTTTACTTCTATCTAGGGTTCTTGATGGAAACGTCGGACTCCTCAGCTTGGTAAGCTTAGGAGACCATGCCGGGGGATGAATACCTCGTTGCACACCGCAGTCCTACACCTAGGAACACCCAGCCACGATGAGGCAGTAAACCATTGGGAATGAAAAAGTCATTATTTTGAAAATCTTCTCAGTGAGTGCGACATAAAGTAAGGATGTCATATATTAGGACTCTAATATGGGATAACAAAGAAAGATTTCCTTCAAAGAAGCATATTTTTTTTTAATGCAACGAAACAACTGTTACAAGAGTCTATTCATTGGCCAACTTTGCAAAGCAAACAGAACTTGTCGGGAACTACATTTTTGGCCCAATTGGGGCTACTTAGCAAAGAAGCAATAAAAAGAGATATAAAATAACAAAAACTGCAGAAATATCAAGTCTATTAGATAGAACTTACTTTCACAACCAGGATAAGGACATGTGATGGTGAAGCCGATCGTTGGTCGGAAAACGAATCGAGATTCTTTCAAAGCAACAAATAGACATTCCTCAAAACACTGACGACAAACTAAATGATGACATCCAAGGTCGAACAAATAGTTGTTATGTACATCTAGACATATTCTACAATCAGCTTGCTCCCAGTTACCACGTACTTGCGATAGGACTGCTCCTATCTAAAACAATTCGATACTTGCACAAGAGATTGTGGAAAAACCTCAACCTTTGCCTTTCCTAAACTGAATAGGGCTATGAATCACTGCATAAGCCGCCAACCTGGTTACAAGAGACGCATTTGAATTGGAATAAAGCATACGATGATGAATTACAATCCGCACAGTTGGCTTCGATTTGGTGGCTTAAATATAGCTCTTGTTACGAATAAATGGTCCATCATAAGCAGGTAGCAATCTTTTCCATTACCTCTTAGTGACATCTCTCCAACAGGATGGCTCATTACTCAAAAGCACCGCTGAAGAGGAACATTTATCACAATAGGCCCGTAATTTACCCCTCTGTATGTCACCACACTGTTTACACCAAACGTAAAAGGATCCGATCTCCGGAGTACTACGAACCGGTGTAGCACCTGTACTTATTCTATCACTGGAATCAACGGAGTTTGTTGGGTTTTCGACGAAAGCAACAAGCGACCTTAAAAGGATTTTTGTGATCTATTGTAAACAAGGAACGAATTGGCTTTCTATAGTGAGAATCCGTAATAAATGTTGCGAAAATACCAACTTCTAGATACAGATAAACTCAGAAAAGAAAATCCCCCAACGCTCACGTTGTTGGTCCCAGAAGAAGCTCCCTCAAGAATGTTGTTTCCTCGAGAGCACGCCCACACAAGACAACCTAAAGTGGAGCGGATCAGAGAAGGACAAAAACATTAAAGACATTAGCCGTTCCCGGTAACAGGAACTATAATACAATGAGTTATGGTTGCCCCCTCAACGTTTACCGCTTCATCGTAGCTGGGAAGTGTTCACGCGTGTCGGGCTGCGATGTACAGTAGGATTCCTCCTCCCGGCACGGTCTCCCAAGCTGAGGAGTATGGCATCTCTATTAGGAAGCCCAGCTAAGAGTAAACCAATATCAGGTCCCACTAACGTCTTTATATCAAACTAGTCGCATGGTGGCACTTTTAAGACAGAATCTAGCAATCTGGCCTTTACAATGACTCGCGGTGGCCTACTGATGTATCGAGCCAGTGCTTCTATCCTCCCAGACAGGTCTGATACCATTTTGCCGATCATGGAGGGATGGAAGGCTTAGTGAGCCACGGGCACGGAGGTTGATACCGTGTGTACAATAGAGCGCCTCCGACCACAGCGCTACACATGCAAATTTAGTAACTTTTAATTTCACGTACTGGCACCTCAGCTTAAGCATTTAACGCAACTACTAACTGCGGTAGCTTAAGAACATTAGATTAGATACCGACAATACATAAACTGCAACCTTGTCACACAATGTTAGAATTCATAAATGCACGGTTACCTCCTTTGTAGGAGACCAACGCCAAAAATTACAGCTAGGTTCGATGCTATAATCACGAGCTGAAGTCATTCTATGAACAATTCCCACCTTGACACGTGGAAACCCTGCTCATTTTAAAGGAATGACCATGGAGCTTCTTATGCTTGGTTATATCTTACCATAGTTTATCAACCATACTTTACTTTTTACAGAAATGAGATGATGGGCACTGTTAAACAGGAGTTTTTAATTTGTACTACTCCTGGCAATGCAAATATACTTATTAATAAAACTACCGTACCCTTAGTAGATGCCGAGGAACTCCGACCTTCTGGCTAATTTTTTCTTCGAAACTTCTAACCGTGTCGTTGAGGTTAAATGGAATCAACAACGACCTTCTTGAATGATCGGCTCGATTGTGCACCACAACGAGCAGCTCGTCCATTCTGAAATATCGTTGATCTAAGGAATCAGATGACGTTTAAAAATGGGTATGAAAACATTGGATCCCACCCCGCAAACAAAAGACCTGCATAGTGTGGTGGTGAACAAGTTAGACCCTGGAAAAGGTAATAGCAAGTTCCATCCCCACCGCAAACACCTGCGGTCAGGAGTTTTGCTAAATATCATAGCGTCATTTTGGTTATAAAAAACATTCTTTAACATTCCTTAATCGGATATGAGTATGTAAAGATGCTGCTAACTTGTTAACTTAGCATCTCACTTGGGAAAAAACCTGTTCAAGTGATCTAAATTGCTAAGACCAAAGCTCCTTGTTCAGAATTCACTATTTTAGCTTCGCTGTGTGCAAAAAGAGGAAGAAGATGGTCAAGTATACCCATAGAAGGAGAGGGAGAGCAGGGGTTTGGAGATGACTTGTTTAGATGACTGTTTTCATCACAAACATGAGATTGGCATAGAGGAGTAAGAGACTACAGTCTAAAAGAAAAAACCTACAGAGTAAGTCATTGCGACCTAACATATAGCTCCTGGAAAAACTCAACAGTGGAATAAAATAATGGAAAGGTGTTCTCAAGATCAACGGTTTACCGCCTCATAGTGGCTGGGAGGTGTTCGTGGGTGTCAGGCTGCAATGTGCAGAGGGGATTCGTACCCCCAGCAGCGTCTCCCAAGCTAAAAAGGAGTCCGGCGTTTCCATCAGGAAGCCCAGCTAAGAGTAAACTAGTACCAGGATCCACCATCGTTCTGGTATCAAACGAGTCGCATGGTGGCAAATCTCCCTCTGATCGACAACAGCGGCGACTGGCTATGGTGGTGATAACCTGGGGCAGACTTGCAGACTTTAGAGGCTGACCTCGAGATTCCAAGGAATCATAACGGCTAAACTAGAAAAATTTCGAAAAAAAGTGGAAATTATGCTGGCGCCCGCACAACCTGTGAAGATGGGCCATCCAAGTTTACAAATAAGTCTTCGAGGCATAAAAGTGTAAAGGCTTAAGAACTCCGATGTTAGACGAAAAGTATAGCTATCGATTTATGAAGGATATATGAAAACCAAGAGGCAGTATAAAATCTTATGGAAATTTGTACACTTAAAAGAAATGTTAGTGAGGAACTATCAAGCGATCGATATGCACTTTTAACACTGAGTAAGCACTACTGGATTTAAAGTGAAGTAAATAGAGACCGGAAGCAAAGTAAGTAAGTAGCGTGGACGTAAATACACTTAGAGACTTAACGCTATGTGTTTAACCATGCCGTTCTTACAAATCATAGCGACACTTTCGCAAAGTGAACATAAATACTACTTGTAACAGTTCCCAAGACCGACTTTCCATTAACCTCGGCATTGGGTTACAGAACTGTCGTTCCCTTTTTTCCAGCAATCGCTTTTTTAGCTATGTAGCACTGTTTAGCATTATAGTAATCGGTTTAGCTATTATGTTGCCCTGGAGTCCTGAGGTCAGCCAGGCCAAAGGCTTCTCCGCATTCGTCACTACCACAAGCAGCCGCCGCCCTTGTGGATCAGAGGGAGATTTGCCACCGTGAGACTAGTTTGATACCACGACAGTGGTGGTCTTTGGTATCGCTCTACTCTTAACTGAGCTTAATGATGGGAATACTAGACTCTTTCCAATCTTGGGAGACCCTCCCAAGGTAATGAATCGCCCCTGTGCATTGCAGCACGATGACCAGGAATGCCAATGCCTCCCATTCACGATGAGGCGGTAAACCTCTAGGAGAAATAGGAGAGTCACTTTTTTAAATTTGGGTTTCATACGTTTTGTATCTTCTCGTGTTGTATTACCAATTCTCATTGCTCCATTCTAAGTAGTTTTTTCATTTCTCATCATAGTCGTAGCTGTTGACGATGTCTACGGCCTTTCGTTCATTAAATAGTACTGAATAATATAGTCTGAGTAGATCAAATTCACCCTTGAGAAACCGAAAGGAAATTGGCTCCATTTCTTAACGTTGAAATCAACTTATCAAGTAGCGGTTATATGGCAAAGTGGTGCCGAAAACCAAGTAACAAAAACATCCTGGTTCATTCCTTTTCTTACCGCCTTTCACACACAAAGAAGGCGCTTGTGAGAAACATGTATCGAACAGCCACCTCTGTGTGCACTACCAGGGAACTAAAGGAAGAATCGCGCGACTTGGCTCGGCAAATAGCCATCTCCAATGGCTACGAAATATTAACCCCACAAGATAAGTTTAGCAGGAGAACGATGCTCCAAAACAAAAGACTTGGCCAAAACAACATCTCGTTTGTCTCGCCTTTTACAGGAGATGGACCAAGCGTAGCTATAAACGATGCTTAAGAAGGGCAGATCTAGCGGAATCGGTAGCGATAGTTGAAATACCACCAGCTATTCTACGTCGCCAGTTAGTTCGTAGCCGCCTGTATGACCGACTGTGTGAAACAACAAACTGCGTAATTTTCCCTTACGGTAGGGACGGTGATTGCATGAGTTCAGGCACGATTTACCTGATCTCTTGTAATAATTGCGGAGATGAATATATTGGCGAAACGGGCAGACCTTTGTGTATCCGTATAAAAGAACACCTAGATGGCAAACGAAAACTAAGACGAAGCACCCCACTAGGCACGCATGGGATACAAAAGCATAGCGGAGACGATTTTGAAGTAAGAGTCAATATCCTCGCACGGGAGACTAAAACACCAACGCGCGAACTCCTCGAGGTTTTTTGGATAAATGCCAAAAATTCTGCAATGAACAAAAGGGAGGAATGCGCCCCGTACCTTCGCATCGACTTTTGACGTTGGGTGGTGCATTCATCGATCATATACGACTCAGATCGGCTGTTCTTCCTCTGTGGAAGGCACGTAAAAAAACGCTGGATTTTTCGAGAAGTTGTTGACCGTATGATTGCCATGTAGATTTTCATCCTTTTGTTTGTGCTGTTGAAGCGTTTGACATAGCAAATTGCGTTTCAGTGTGCCCTTCCAAGCTCTGAAGAAAGTGCTGCTGCCGAAACGTCAGCCACCGTCGTGTTGTCAGTACCCCTTTAATCGATTGTTACACAGGGTAACTGGTACCAGAAGTTCTGCTTTGCAAAAAACCACATCCTCAAAGTCGCTTAGAAAAGATGATGTTGACCTATTGACCAGCAAACCACACATGGATTCATCCTAGTTCGTCGTCCTCGATACGGTTAGTCTATTCATCCCAGGAAAAGTCCTAGGGCAGCAAAATCCTATCCGATAAACACGGATCAATGACTACCTGTGATGGAGAGTTTCGATCACCTACTCACGGATATCTTACGATTCTAGCAAACCACAAAAAAACGGTGTAGAGAAATTCAATATGAACGAAGAGAAAACAAATCATATCCATACGTGATCCCGATCGCTCTTTGATGGAAGGCAATCGGAACATGAAAGAACAAATGAAAGAAGGAACGGATGGAACAAGGGCAAATGGAAGGAACAACATTTAACTGTGCTCCATCCTAGTATGTAACTAACCAATACGGTGGTGTCAAGGGTGGCGGCAATCAACTAACGTGCTCCATTGATGGAGCTAGTCTTAAACCACCTTTAGTCACCGGCTTTCATTAGTGTGTACCATGATCATTCACGTCAGTAAATTTCTTCTGCATGATTCGTCCTCCTTTCCTTCGTCTTTCTCACTTCCTGTCATACGAAGATCTTCCAAGTTGACCACTCATAAGAGGGGCGTTGTTGCTGAAGACGACCAGACGTTTTTTGTTTAGCAGAAGAGTGCGGTCGTTGTGTTTCATGCTGACATTTCCTTTGTTTGTATAACGTTTTTTAATTTCAGAACGAATTTCGAATTCGTGGTTTTATAAGCTTCGAGTCGCAACTTCCACATAGGGTGCTAAAGTATATCTTGAGCGATTTGGTATGACGTCATTTATTTCCTTTGAATTTCGGTGTTTCGATGTTGAATCTTTCATATCTAAGCAGTGGCCATGAGGTGTTAAAATGTCAAATGACGGCAGAGTACTTATGGATTTTGCTATAATCTTTGTCATTATGACTTTATAACCTAACATTGAGCGCATGTTGCGCAGTGTCAGAGGTGCCCTAGTCTACACACGTGAGTTCGATCCCGCGCCTCAGATTGGCCAAGCCTTCCATCCCTCTTAGTTCGGCATATTGGTACCAGACTTGTCTGGAAGAATATCAGCGCTGATCCGATACTTCGCTAGGCCACCGCGAGTCATTATACGGAAATATTGGATTGAATCATCTCTAACGATGCTTAGTGAAGTCACATGCATAGCGCATCCCTCAAGGATTGATCAAGCGCAGATGGCCTTAGCTTTTAGAGCTTTACCGCTGCTCAGTCCGGTATCGAACCACGAAATACCCACAGGTGAGAAATCGACCAAGATTTTACCCTCTCAGAGCTTTATCCTTTTATCACTTTAGCCCAACATTTCACCGTGTGGTCGAAAATGCAATAGATGGTGTTTCTAATCAAGGAATTACCTCTATTGGAACGAAGTCTGAAGAAATCATTCCGACTGCCTAAGTGGCGTGGCTATGACTGTTTTCCATCAACTTAAACAAAATTTTACAAAGTCTATGGTGTCCGGCAGTAGTGGTCTGCCTAAAAGACGGGGAATTACATGGATTACAATAAAGAAAACAATAAGTTAACAGTGATCCTAGTGATTACGAGTGTTCAGTTCCTCTCTGCTTTCCGTGATGGTTGAAATTCGGGAGGAATCTTCGGAACCGTACAATCCTTCGGCGTCAGGTGGCACATCCAGAGCTCAATCTAGTGGAAGCTTTCAGGGCTCCGTTTCACTTTCAGTGAGGTTTATTCCAGTTATTCAGAAATTTTCGAAGAGGAATTGAAGGTGTTTTTTCAAACTTGGTGAAAAAGACTCCTAAGGTACTTAAGAGCTCTCTTCAGATCATATTTGCTGCTGTATTTCCTCAGTCTTGAAAAACCAGCTTCTTTCAAGCTATTTTTGTTCCACTTTCCTTGGAATATTCTTTGCATCCAGCTTAGGATGATGATCATCTCGCGTCTCCTATACCTTATTTCACAGTTTTTCTTTCTTGACAAGTGAACAGAGTTCTTTACTTCAGCAATATGTTTCGGAAAATGTCATGGATTGTTGCTTACTTATGACACGATTGGCGACGTTGTTCTTCGCAATGTGTTATCTTCTTCCTTTTCTATCGCCTGTATCGTCGGATTCCGCTTACTACAAAGCTTTCGCTTCTGGTGAGCCCAGAGCCCACATTCACAATACTTTTTTTTTTACAACGAATTTAGTCAATTTGTACATTTTTTCTCGAATTTTCTTCGCTTCTTACATCTCATGGCACTTGCTACAGCGGCAGCGACGAACGCTTTGCGAATGCAACAACGAGTGGGGTTAGTTTCGTTCTCGCGTGAATTCTTCGCTCGACTGCTTCTAGAAGATAGCTGTCACTATTTATTCTACTCCATTCTTTTCCTGACATCTGCACCTGTAACCATGACTCTTCTATCAATCACTCTATTCGCAGCACTTCATGCAGCTTCGCAACTGGTGAGTTTCGAAAGTTGTTACTCACTTGGTTATGCTTAAAATCGTAAAAGTCTCTTAAACTAAGTGGTATTCATATAAGCATAATGGTGTTGAAATAATAGCAAAACTCCGGACCGCAGGTATCTACGGTACGGATCGAACCTACTATTACCCTGTACGGTGACTAGTGTTTTCACCACCACAAAACTCCCAGAAAGACTAATAGCGGGTTCGATGCCCACCACAGACACCTGCGGTCCGAAATTTTGCTAATATGTCAGCATTGTTGTGGTTATATTTCACATCGTACCCTGCCATTAAAAAATATTAGGCAGTAAATAAGCAGTGACCACATCGTGATATTCCTTTGTTTTGTTTTCTTTTTAACGTTAATATTCAGCTTATGGAGCTAGTCCTTGTCGGTGAAGTATATTTTCTTCAAGTCGATGCAGGACTGCTAGGATAAGCGGTAGCTCTACCATCTCTGAGATCCATTCCGGCAAAACATATTGTCAAGGTTTCAGTTGTGCTTCTAGGTGCAGTGTGCTGTTCTTTTGCAAAATTTACTACCCAGCCTTTAGCTCATATAAAAACAATCCCACATATTGGAATGGGGATTTGGAGAGCTTGAAGTCCTGGATTTGGTAGTGTGAATTTTATAAAAACTTCTTCCAAGATTTGAGCGTTGCATGTATACTTGAAGAGAAAGCCCTCGAAACGCTATTTTAGTATTATTGTCATATTAAATGTCATGTTAACATTGTTCCATTATCGTTAAAAGTGTATGAACGTATGGATCTATTCATGTTTCTCTCATGTAGACATGCGTGATGTTTAGGTGAAGTTGCTCACAGCAATTGGTCACGGTGGATCCCGTTTCACTCTTCGTTTGGCATCGTTTTCGCAGCAGCACACTGCAAACTGTCTTGGAATCATTGCTTGTGGAGAGATATTTCTCATTCCAGTGTTGATTGCAATGCTTTTTGTGTAGGATTTCTTTTACGTTGTCTACATTTTTGTATTATCTATATATTATGTGGTATAGTTTTATATCAAAGCTAACATGGTGTGCCAAAGCGCTGTTAGGCTGGGTGCTATATAGTATGGGCCAAAACGTGAAAATCGAGAGCTTTGCATTTGAATTTCTGAAGTTTATCTTCTGATCGTAGTGATGTGGTTGTCTAGTTTCATTATGGTACTAGTTACTTCTGGCTTACTTGGGCGAGTCTGTTCTCTGTGAAACGTAATTGTAAAGTTCCTGCTTAGCACGCATATTTCAAATTCTAGGGTTGGGGCCCCCATGTTTGCGTGGTTGGAGAGTGAGTTTCCAAACCCACTCACTGTTTTAATAAATAGATTCGAAATGGTTTTATTCACCAGAATAGCAGCCCAACATTTGTGCACCTCTGCGGCCATTCATCAAGATCCGAATTATTTACATGAGATTTTGGCTGGGAAGAATTTCCATCTCTATTCAGTTAAGTGTGTTACTGTAACAGAACCGTAATACATATCAGATCATCAAAGCAATCTGTGTTGAGCGTAAGTGTTTTCAAGGTTTTTAAGAGAGACCTGGTTTTTACCCCACCGTCTTCATCTATTTAAGAGTCAAAACATACTGTCCAATAAAGGAAAGTGGAAATGTAACAGTAGTGCAAAGATAGGGAGAACATTCGTTAGAAATGTGGACAAATATGTTGCTTTTTCGTGTTTTATGCCTTTTGAGAATATGGAAGATTTATTCCTGTCGTATTATAATGATGTCATTTTCAGTGGTAAGGCCTCTCTATTTGTGCCTTTCATTTACTACCGTTTCCTAACCCTGCGGTACTCCTCTCGTAGGAATCCAAACACAAGGTATTTTCTCTAGACTGTTTGTATTGCTCCATTACAGTACTTGCTTCTTTTGAAGTGTCACGCATGTTTTCTTGGCATTTCCATAGAAACGATAGTGAGTTACGAGTATTGCAGGCAGGCGTTCGCGCAAATGCGTTATTCTCTGGACCAGGTGGCGGCATCTGCTTCATGCCCACAAATAGTTCGCTCTCTCATCTACAACTCTATCAGTCTCATTTCTCGTCTTGCTCCGGCTATTTGAAGGATCTACCTATCTCATCAATTCGCGTCAACTAGAAATGTTTAAAAGATAAAATTTAATCGTTTGTATCCTTCAATCATTTCCTGTTGATCTGAATTATTTCCGCAATAATGTGTCGATACAAGTCTCTAGTGTAGTTTTCGCAGTGGTTGTATATGCCAAGTAGTAAACGGATGGATTTTTAAATGCAAGGTGGTATGTATTGTACTTAATCGAGTCGAATGAATGTACTGCAGACGGATAAACGTCAAACATATCTGTTATCCTTACCCTCGTGAACACCATTGTGAACCTAGTGAGACAGACTATTATTCAATCTAATTTAGTGATTGGCATTACACATACATAGTTTTCATCGCTGTGAAAGAGTGGCTATGGTAACTATAATGGAACCATCACAGCGGCAATATCGAAGTTCATCGTGATAGTAGGACTTGTATGAAACAGAGTTAAAGTGTTCTACTACGAAACATGTTTAACACAGATCTTTATTTAAATGGCGCACATAGGCATACATAAACAGGAAGTGGATCTGTGACCAGTAATGTTGCGCCAAATGAGCGCTTTAAGAAATATTTTGGTTAAATTCACAGAGCAGAATTTTACATATCTGCAAATTAAGTGGTAAACACAATGAATAAGAAATAACGCTAGGCATAACTACCACATGAAATATGCTTCATAAAGATTTGCGTGAAGGAAGCGCTTAATTTGGAGCTATATATGTTGTAAGAGAAGTGGTCCTTATTGGAAAGAAACGCAATTTTTACTGTTACAAAGAAAAGGTGGAATTGGAGATCGACTTAACTACACCTGATATCTTATGTTGCGCCTAAAACTTTAAGAACAAAAAACTGTAGGATAACGTGTAATAACTAAGTTGCACAAATATACACATCAGAAATAAGGGCAAACAACAATAACTAATTTTCTACCTATTTTATTCCTGTTACTGGAATGTTCCGACTGAGTTGGCATATCAGCGATCCCTAAAAAAATGTCTTGAACAGGTGTTAAGTCTTTTTTGCTACCTATTATAATTTTCACGGCAGAGTATGATGTAAAATACAACTGCGACGGTGCTGAAATATTCGCAAAACTTGGACCCGGACCCAGATCGAACCATGATTACCTTTTCCGAGGGCTCGCGATTACACACTACACCACTTAGGCCCTTGCTCTGCGTTTCTCTAAGCTGGTTTTCTACCCAGCACTGCCATTTTGAATAGGATACGAGAATTCTACCTCAGTTATAGTCTGAAAGAAAAAGTCTACTCGACGAATTAATGTCAAGTTCCCAAATAGGTTAGTCACTTGGCCACGTACGTCTTTCCTGATGGCGTGTTGGGAACCAGCACTTACAGATTAACGTGGGTTGTGTTCCACATAACTAGAGACATTATATCATCTCACTTCATAGCGAGCATAGCAAAAAAATTAGGCTTCGATCTGATACGGCAGTCATGCATAATGATGTGCCGGACACTACGCAGACCATCTTGCTGAAGTCAGTAAATAGTTGACGAGATTACAGGTGAATTGCAAGTAATCAAGACTTCAGAATATTTTGCTCGATCGCAGCAAATCTATTTGGTTGATATACTAAAGAAAACATTACTAAATGCGTAGGAAAAAATTAATGTTTTTTGCGAGCAAACTATGCAACCTTACCTACTAAATATTAAGCAGTTAGAAGCAAATCGGAACTTATAAAGGATAATCTCTTCGAATTTTAATGCTCATTACAAATTCTTCACTTCCAAACTTCAAGTTTTTGGCTAGATATTGGCGGGAAATAAAAGGTGTTTCAAATCCTTTTTTTTTCATATCATGCGACCCGTGTTTCCAATCTACTGTGCAGATCCCAGCACTTCTTATATTCGATTTGTTTCCTCACATCCTTCATCCACGAAGGTCTTCCAACTTTTACGTGTGGCTTCGGCTACTGCTTGAGGATGTTAGTTTCACCTTGAATGTCATAGAACGCTGGTCGAATTGATTCCACCTGGCCTGCCTGAAGTCCTGACAAAACTGGGTTAGAGCATTACAACTTGGATTTCAGAGAGCGGATTTTTTGCAGATATGTCCGATACAATTCTCTCGACCCCAGAGGAATGAGAGACTTGGGGAGACCGAAGCAAGATAGAACTAACACCGTGCTCATTATGATCGACATCACTACTATTGTGCTACCCGCCTCCTTTAGATAAAAAAAGATAAATTTCTCTTTCTTTCTCGCTCTCTCGAATAGTTTCTCGCGAACGAATTTATTACAAATGAATTTAACTAAACTTTCTATCGCCCCCTACGCTCACATATGGCGTTCCGCTGAATGGTCCATGAGAGATTAGCCTTATTCAAAACCCATATTTTAAAAATTGGAAGAATACTGTTCAAGAACTTCCGCTCAGCTATGAGTATACATTATTTTCAATACTTACCATTCACCTAATTGTTTCTATACGGCAAACCGCCACGGAACAGTTCACCGGACAGATTCCGCCAAAAAATCTCGTTAGCAATATCACAAGTCGACTCGTTACTTTGGGTAGGCATTCTGGGTTCATGTGCATCTCCAAGGTCTTCTACAACTGGGAAAGCACGTCCTGCCATGCAAGCAGACAGGACAGTATAAGAATCTAGAAGAATTAATTGTTACTGAAAATCCTAGAAATGGATTACGAAAAAAAAAGGGTAAACGAAAACAACAGTAGCAAAGGTTTTGGCGAATAGAAAAAATAGTAGACAAAAAACAGTTATAAAAAGTAAATGACGACTAACTTCTGATCAAATCCAATGCAATAAAAGGAGAAGGAGCAGATTTCTTGTAACGAGCTGGCTGAAAAAGTATAAAGTCATTCACAAAAGGCATAGATAAACATGGGACAGAAGCAATATCTACCACTGCTAGCAATAATCCAACTTCTTGATATGTTCGATATGCTTGATCCATAAGCCAACTCTAGTGAGTCCAAAGCGCACTTTTAATGATTACTGGATCTAACGGAGAGGAGTGGGGGGAATGTGCCATGGTTAGTGATGCTCCGTCGATGAGCAAGCAAACGGCTTTTGTTCAATCCACACCACAACGCTCTCCACCTGTCCACGTGGGGATGTCTTCGCCCGTCTACCTCCACGGTTGCAAGAATTGACTCGATTAGTATTCTACGACATTTATAAAGAAGATGAAGTCCTCAAGCAGCAGATAAAACAACACGCGAAATGTTCGAAGACTGCTGTAGACGATGAATGCGAGGAAAACGAATCGAATGCAAGAAGTACTGTAGCTGTACAGTAGATGTAATGACGTGTTACATAAAACAAAAAAGAAATTGCATCTAAATGAGCATTACTTTTCTGCCGCACTCACTGTGAATTTAAATCAACCCACACCGGCCTAACCTATTCAAACAATAACCTTGCTCATTCTGCCGTATTTCTTGTATGATTCGGTTTTCTATGTCTTCCACTAGCAATTTATTTTTTTTTTTATTTCAACGCATCCTCCTTGGAGTTATTTGAACTCTATGGTATTACTACTATTACTCTATAGTATTTGATGGGAAAAAACGCGTCCAACATCCAACCGCGACATCATCTGTTAGTCAGCTCCACAGTATATACATACATACATACATACATAATAAATAAAAGACAAAGCTCTCGACGTTGATCAGTCCCTGAGGGATGCACCATGTATTCGACTTTATTAAGCATCGTTGGATGTCATTGAATGCATAGCTCGCCTTTACAATGACTTGCGGTGGTCTACCGATGTATCAAGCTTGCGCTGCTATCCTCCCAGACAAGTTTTGTACCAATTTGCCGACTCCGGAGAGGAGGGGTTGGTGGGCCATGGACGTTGGATCGATTTCACGTTTGTGTCGCAGTGGGGTCTCCAACTACTGCGCCACAAGCGCCACAGACATACATATGCATGCATATGCATATATATATTTTTTTATATCCTCGCATTGTCTGCGATTACCACGATACAGCATATTGGTTGACCGACGAAACTCGAATTTTACATGCTCGACATATAATGAACGATTCTCGTTTTTCGACAACTCCACACAATTTGTCGATAGTTAAAGTATACGAGTTTAGAAACTCAAACAGCTCCACATGAAACTTTGCTCTATCGCCCTAGAGGCATTCATACATCTTTCCTAAACTATCACGCTCATTTTAGTTTGCTTTTAAGTCGCACTTAAAATCCAATTTCTCAAAAACCTACGAAACGAATTCAAAATTTCGAAGTATCATAGGCACAAGAAGCACCTTACAATACCAAAAATACTATGGATCACAAGCGTGCTCTGAAAGAAAACTCGTGTATTATCTCCTTGACGACCGAAATGGAACTTCCAATGAAAAATAATTCATTTTATTGGCTCTGGGAAATGTGACCTTATTTTGGCACAACGAACAAATTTGTTGGTTTTGCAAATCTGTGGATACTAGGAAATTTTGCTCGAATAGTAAATGATAAGAATAGCATCTGCCTGGCGTAACTTAGAACTTTGATATATGTAGACCAATGAATACAAAAATCAACAAATAACTTCGTGCACCAAAAACGACCACAAAGAAACTAAATGTCAGTAAGTCTCACGACGGCTGACATCTATAGGTGTCATGATGGTTCTGCAGGAGTGAGCAGTAAGACGTTTGCAGGTTTTATTGTCCTTCCGGTGGTCTATTTTAACATGTAGAACTATCTTCCTCTACTATTTTAAACCAACTGATAGCATGTAGAACACAGATATTGTGTTGGGTGTTGGTCGGGTAAGGCTCTATTTTCTATTTAGAAATATACAACATTTTCAAAAGAAACCAGCTAGTCCAAAAAGCTAAAAAATGGACGTCAACTAATCCGCAACGTACCGGAGACTGAGCGTGTCATGAGAGTGTTGAATAATTCATGGCGGACCAGTTTATCCACCCTAGATATGAGTGGAAATCCACTCACGTCGTATTTTAACTGAGAAAAGTGTCGAAATTTAAGATTTTCGACATTCGACATTCCAAATAGACAACAATATCCAATCAGAATAAAAACAGAACTTAAAGAATAAACAACCTGCTGTTTCTTTTTTGTCACGGATGTCTTCTCAGCAGACTGCTGTTCTGAGGAACTTTGCCACTGTCCTTTGTTGGGTACTGTTACCTCACGTTGGCCACTATTGTAAGCTTCTAATCTTGCTCGGATAACATGTTTCTTTATTTTCACCGATAATTCTTCATTTTCAATCCTCAGCATAGAAGTTCGGCTACGAACAAACTTGATTGCTGGTACTCTTCTAACTTTAGCTTGGCCAAAATCCTTTGACGAAGTTTTGTTTCCTTCCTGACATTTCCGAGAATTTGTGGCCAATGTGTTATTGTTAATGTCGTCACATGTGTTACTGATGTTCAACTGCGTTGTAGGTTTCTCCACAGTGGCAGTTAAGTCTTTAGTAGAATTACAGCTCATCCTAGGTTTCTTCGGAGCCTTTGCTTTCGGTTTGGCCTGAATACCATTGTTTAAAACGCTGAAACAACAAAGGAAAACATCAAAACCTATAAGGATGATCAAATATGAGCAAAACACGGAACATAAATAAGCTTCGAAACCGCGACTACCACTTCGACTAACATAGCCGAGAAAAGCGAGTGACTCGGTTAATGTAGCAGGTAGACTACACTAAGGTAATCACGGATTCGAAGCCCAACTACAGTTCCGAGTTTTGCTCATATCTCAGCATCGTTGCCGTTACACTTCACAACATAATCTGCCATGAAAACAAAATCCTCACTCTAGGGTTCTCAAACAAAAAGACAAAGGAAAAAAATCTAATCCACTTTCGTCTTCCGTTTTCCTGATTTCATAGAGATGGATTGATTACATGTTGCATCGTCTGCATTTTCCGCCACAGTCAAAGAATAATTTGGTAGAGACCCTTGAAAAATATCAGGAAATTTATTAAAGAAAATAAAAGTAATTAATATCAACTAGTTACTAAAAACCAAAGAAAAGGAAGCACTGTTTGGCTTTTAAGCGATAGTTCACAAATGAGTCGTGCTGCTCACTGAGAGGCCAGAAATGGATGTCAAGTACTCTCTTCACACTTGGTGCACACGCTATACATGCACCATCCTCGCAAACAATACTTTCTGTAGTTGGTGCTACGTTGGAAAGAGCAAAAAAGATTCAAAAAACGTTTTTTTGTAGATTATAAAGCGCACAATATAGTCTCTTTCGCATGATTCCTAGCAGATCATCGAGAGAAAGGAATGTATGTGGTAAAATAGATTTCTAGAGAGAAAGCGAATCATATATGGCTCAAGGCGGTCATTTCACCCCTCAAACATGAGTCATATAAGACCCATGCTATAGCTTATGGTTTAATCGTAATTTAAGAGCACAGGTTTCGCAGTGTTACGATAAAGAAAGAACAAAGAACAGCTTACCTGGGTCCGTCGGGTGCTCATTTGATTTGTTACATTCCTTAAAATCAGAATGTTACTGATTTGTCAATTCATGTTTGGAAAGGATTTGTATAATACAGAAATATATGGCAATGGACCATAATTGTCCAAATTTTTTTCGGTTTGAAATGAAAATATGTGTCACTTAGTCATGAAGGTAAACAACGCCATTCCACATATATAAGTGGGAAGATGCGGATTAAAGTGACGATGCATTTGGTTTTAGATTTATGTACCTCGGATACTTGGATGGGCCATGCTTACTGGTTGTGCGGCCCCAAGAATGACTTCCAATTTTTCAGAGTTTTGCTGGCTTAGCTATTGTGGTTCTCTGGAATCCCGAGGTCAGCCTAGCCAAAATCTGCCCCATGTCGTTACCACCACAGACATTTGCCATCCTGGTGAATCAGGAGGAGATTTGCCACCATGTGATCAGTTTGATACCATGACGGTGATGGGTCCTGGTATTGGTTTACCCTTAGCTAGGCTTCCTGGTAGAAACAGTGGACTCCTCGGCTTAGGAGACATTGCTAGGGGACGAGTCACTCCGCTGTACACCGCAGACCGACATCCAGGAACACCTTCCGCCACGCTGGAGCGGTAAACCGTTGGGAGGGTCTGAGATTTAACGCACTTAATTTAAGAAATGAGTCCCGGCTTCACTGGGTAAGCTTCTAAACTTCATAATCACAATTAACCACGTTCACAAACTTATGTTTTTTTTGGTCAGACTGTACCTTACATCTCAATTGAGACAAAACATCGCTACTAACTGGCTGAACATCTACCCTGTGTGAAAAACAAAGCCAACTAATATTTAGTTTTAAACAAAATTAAGGTTCTCTAACGCAAGAATATTTTTCACTTTCAGGATCGAAGGACGAATTTTCAGGATCGGTTTTATCACTGGTGATATCCCAGGACAGTATTTTTCGTGGCTCTTGAGAAGTTATAATAAATTATAGGTATGATGAATACGTTGTAAGGAATAAGGAAGGCTTGTTGCGCAAGCTAGAGATCATAATGATGATCTCTTTGTGATTTTCTCAACTCACAGCAATCCAAATTGTCGTTTCACAGTTCTTCCACACACTTTTTTTTGTTACGTGTAGATTTGCATTAATAAACGTCTCCAAATATTCACCACACACTAATAAGCGCCGTCCATTCGATACGACCTTTGGTCAACACTCCTAGTCACCAGTGGTCTGATCCTTGTCGCAAAACTCCCAACATAGCTTGCACCGTGCGCTTGTTAACGGTTGACAGTTTCTCGGCCAAAGACAATGCCGACTTTTTTTTTCAAGAAAGAGCCAAAACTTAAACAGAGAGAACTCATAATGCTTCCCAGACAACGAATACATTGTACTCGATTCGGGATACTGTTGACAAACAATTCTCACGATTACTACGAGATAGTTCACCAACATATTTCACTGGAAAAGCTTTTCGTTAGTAAAAATACAAAGCATGATACAGGAAGAGTGACGTTTTCCGTGTCTCTCTTATTTTCGGAATCAAAGTGGTATTGGTGTTCGTTAGAATACATCTGACAAATGCGGAATAACTATTCCTTGAAAGGAAAAAACAAAGCAACTAATGCATAGATCGATTACCTTGATATCGCTTAATACAACTGGCTGTGAGGAACGCTCGGGGACTTTCAAGAAAAGAGAGTAAGCGGTTGCTTCCGAGAAGTCTGGTAATGGTGTCCTAAAATGTGACACCGTTTAAAGTTGAGATCTAAGAAAAATTATCGTCAAGAGATCGCTGACAGCTATCTGCTTCGTGTATACCGCTACCGCTGTATATACCGCCAATACCGCTTTCTCGCTTAACAAACAATAATAGACATCTTGATCAACTGCTGATTTGCAGGAGACAATGATCAAAAAACAAAATATGGATGTATGAACCAGCAACTAGACTACACAGCACTGAATAGTATGATCAAAAAACCAACTAAACCTTTGAAAACAGAACTGGTTAGCGGTCATAAATCTTTCTTTTTCATAAGAAATCTAAAACTACCTTTCGATGGTTCAATAGAACCTCCTATGCTAACTAGATTTCAACATAAAAATTTGGATTCTTCTACGCCAAAGATTATGGGAAGTTGCCGCTAAGAAGATAACTATTTGTGAAGATTTTTACTTGGCACGGAATGAAAATTGGTTATCAACAACAACACATTAGTGGAACTAATACATCCATTAAGGGGTCACATGTAGCGCAGTGGTTAGAGTGACCCTGCAATACACATGAGTTCAATCCCGCACCCTAGGCTCACCAAACCTTCCATTCCTCCGGTTCGGCAAATTGGTATCAGACTTGTCTGGGAGGTTAGCAACGCTGGCTTGATACATCGGTAGGCCACTGCAAGTCAATGTACAGGCCACAATGCATTTAATCACCAACAATACTTAATGAAGTCGAATGCATGGCACATTCCTCACGGATTGATCAACACCGAGAGCTTTATTATTTTCCTTTATTAATACATTCATATAAATATTTCGAAGGTATTACCTCAAAGAATCGCTTGAAATGTAGTACATTTCCCATCTGAGTATACTGCAAGTTTGGCAAGACTATACCTTTGGAATCCTCCCAACGGTTTACTGCCTCATCGTGGCTGGGAGATGTTCCTGAGTGTTGGACTGCGAGGTACAGCAGGGGATTGATCCCCCTCCCCTCAACAACGTCTCCCAAGCTGGAAAGGAGACCGGCCTTCCATCAGGAAGCCTAGCTAAGAGTAAACCAATACCAGGATCTGCCACCGTCCTGGTATCAAAGTCGCATGATGGCAAATCTCCCTCTGATCCGCAAGGGCTGCGACTGCCTGTCGTGTTGACGACCAGGGGCAGATTTAGCCAAGCTGTCCTTGGGATTCCAGAAAACCACAATGGCTTAACCAGCAAATCTTCGAAGAATGGTGATTATGCTGGAGCCCGCACAACTAGTGAGGACGGGCCGTTCAAGTATCAAGTAAGTATCCCCTTGGAATTTTGAGAAACGTGTGATCCAGCGTCTTCACGTCACCAACACAGGCGATTCCCTGTTGTAGAGGATCTGAAGGATGTTTGCCAAGCTGCCATTTTTTCTAAAGCGATGGCCAATGCTGACATTCGCTTACCCTTAACTGGGCTTCCGGACAAAAAAAACCGTATTTCTTATTAGCTGGGGACTTCAATCGAGGACAGAACACCCGCTATATATTGGAACCTGACACTCACAAATATCCGCTACCGGGACGAGACGTTGTTGTTGTTGTTGTTGCTGTTGGGAGAAAATAAAACACTTTAAGTCAATCTATATGCCATGAAGCTGGTTCTTAGATAGCTGCCGATAACTCCTCGAAAACTACAGTTTTAAGATAGTGGAGACCTGAAAAACCGAAGTGATTTTGAGCAGTCATTTCAGAGGAACAAATGGCCGTCTTATAACAGTGTTCCCATACTGTGGATAATCGACCCGAACCAATACGGTTTTCAGGAAGAGGAAGACGTCGTAAGGCTAACCGAATAATACTCTATAACAACTTCGTATAAACTTAATCATTAATGAAAATATTGAATAGTTACACAGAAGCTCATAGTTGGTCAGTCTTGAAAGTTCTTGATTGCCTACGTAGTAGTTAACATAATACTGAGTACTGTTTCCATCTTAAAATTTTTTAAAATTAGGGTCCTAAAAAATAGGTGCGATCGAAAGATTTTAACCTAAATGTGACAAGTAAAGGCAAGGACGACGAATTGAGGGACAAAATAGCGTCAAATTAGATGAAATTCTGTTTGTTCAGTAGCATTGTCATTTAGGATAGGGGTTCGAACAAAAAGCGATAAAAAAGACGATTTGTGGACTTGAAAGTTAAGTCACCTCAGTAGATCATACTACTTCACCATGAGTTTGGAGAAGTTTGTTTATATACTTGCCTAATTTCATACAGCACGCCTTGTGAACTGAAACAACTCATCCCGGCCACGCTCCTCCACTAAAAACAGCACACTGCCTTCATGTCTTTTGCCTCTATTTGGTTAGCAATTTCAGTTCTCTACATTCAGCGCATTCAATACATTCTTCTCTGTATGTTACTATGTTTCCGAATATTTGAAATCCTCATGTGTGCTGAGAACACTGGTCCACTGTCCAACCATGGCGCAGTAACCCTTTGATAGTCGGTTTCGCAAAATGTTTTGAGCTATCACAGTAAAGTTTTCACTCGAGTCATGCTAAACGGAATTGGCAGAACACTGGACGAAGGGAGGCCATGTGAGCAAGTAGGGTTTCGAAAAGGATTTAGTACGGTGGACCACATTTACACGGCAACACGGCCCATTGAATTATCGCGAGTGTACAAAAGACCGCTCTGTCTCACTTTTATCGATTTACAGAAGACCTTTGATTCAAATGAGACAGAAGCAGTCATGGAAGCCCTTGACAGTCAAGGAGTTCCTACTCAGTACTTAAAAATTCTTACGTGAGTTGTACAGAAATTTCACAACCAAGATATCACCATTCTACAACCATATTAACATCGACGTCAAAAGAGGGATTAGGCAAGGCGATATCATCTCGCCAAAATTATTCGCCGCCACCCTCGAGAACGTCAAGCGAACACGGGAGTGAAAATCGACCATCGGCAATTACACCATATTCGCTTTGTTGATGAGTGTGTTAGTTAGCCAGTGGATTAGAAAGTTGGTCGGATTTGTCTTTTGTCCGCCAACTGTATGTGAAATGCCTGACTTTATATAAATTCGCCACGCGGGATTTTTTTTTCGTAACTGTCGTGAACAACCTCAACTAACTAACCCAAACGGGTTATAACAGTTTACAGTAACAACAACCATACAATAATAATATATGATATTTGACTATATATAAGCTGGGTGGATACGAGCGAGATTGAAATGAGAACAATTGATACATTTGAAGGAAGTAAGGCGTACACTGGAGTTGGAGCACTGAAGAACTGTGGGACTGGAAGACAAGCACTGGACGAACGCTACGAACACTTGAAGACGAATGCCGATGGGCTGCCTGTGTTATTTCTGTAGTGGGTGGAGCTTTACCAGAGGAAACTAAAGACAGCGCCTAGGGAGGTTACAAAGGCTTTTTACTAGCACAACTTGATAGGGCTACATCTGAAAGGGCACAGGTGCTCGTTCAGAAACTTCTTTGGGACGGCAGATGCTGGAAAGTACATTCAGCTGACCGCTGCTGATTCCCTTTTCAACCACCTGCGAGGCACTGCATGAAGTGGTTGTTAAGAGATAATTTACAGAATGTGCAAGAATAGATGTATAAAGATTACAAGTGAAACAGTTACTGTAGAAGACTTAAGGTAACATAGAAATAGGAACTATTTAAGGAATAGTTGCTATAATAAGATTGTTCTTATAATATCAAGCATTAACCAGGTGGAAAGAAGCTAGCCGACTTCCATAACGCTTATGGAAAGGTTGGTCTTTGACTAAATCTCGTGAAAACGTAACGAACGATTTAGCTCGAGTTAAGCAGAAGGAAACGAGCAGTTTGCAGAACTTTCAAGAGTATCAAGGAAGTAGTGAGGACAACAAAGAACACCCGACTCCGTGTCCGCCTTTTCGACTCAACGGTATCTCCTGCTTTAACGTATGCGTCAGAAACCTGGTCGCTGCGTAAGCACGATGAAAGGTCACACAGCGTTACCGAACGCGAAGTCGAAAGGACGATGCTAGGAGTATCCCGTTCCGCACAAGTAAGGGATGGGATCCGAAGCTCCGACCTGCGTCAACGATCAAAAATCAAAGATGCCGTTCTGTACGCAAAACAGTCGAAGATAAGGTGGCCCGGACACGTAATGCGTATGAATGACAACTGATGGACAAGAGCCGTTAGTGATTGGATTCCTCGAGATGTCAAACCTACTGCAGGAAAACCACCGACCCGATGGTCAGCGTTCTTAACGAAAAACCTAGAAGAAAGATATGATGCTCGACGAGTCCCTAGAACGAGCAGAACCCAGTGGACTACTCTTGCACGCGACACAGAAAAATGGAAGGTTTACTGGCGACCGCTCGAATCACTTGGAGATCAACGGAGCTACAGATGATATAGGTGATATCCCAGCACTCTCCTCTATTTTTCATACCCACCCATCCATACGATAACTATTTCTTCTCGCATCGATTGAAAAGCGATGAACATCCAATCACCAATCACCGGTCAGAAATTGAATCTCATATGCTCTGATCGCATCGAAAGAAGACAAAGTTCATATTGACCAACTGTTCATGAAAGATGATCAAGAACCTGAAGACTCTGGATAATGAGGAATCTCTTAACGATATCGTTGAAGAGTTCCAAGAAATTTTGGAATCGGAGTTTGAGCACTAATGTGATCATGACGAGATCAACACTAAGTGAGAAATCAATGTGGCACCTCGTGATCAATGGATTTTCGAAGACAGTTATGTGAAATATATTCTCTTTCTGCTTGAATTCATAGAACCGAAAAGTATTTCCGGTTGTAAACGAAATGAACACTTATGGGCAAGGTGAAGCAAACGAAAGCACTCTTGAAGAGACGAAAGTATCCATCATTGGTGCCTTAATGTGGGGAATATTAGACTGCCACGGCTAGGGGTATAGTGACCAAATCATTCCTTAAATTATATGGTGTATAAAGTAATTCTTGTAATCTGATTCCTGGCACGACATCCACATTGGGAAAGCTATGTGATTACGTTTTCTTTCTCAGCAATCGCGAGGTTGTTAAACAGCATACGTTTACAATCTTAACTCTTTTATTTACTGCCTTTTTCTTCTTAATGGCAGGGTATGTTTCGAATTATAACTCGTATGAAATGCTGAGATATTTGCAAAACTCCGGACCACAGGTGTATGTAGTGGGGAACGAACACGCGCTGTTGTCCTTACCGGGGTGCAGCGCACTTCACCACTACACCATCCGGGTCAGCATACGTTTACTTCCATAAAATAACACACATACATCCGTAGCTGGTGTTTCGGCAGAATCGCCCTCTTCAGAGCCGCTTTTATCACCTGTCTTCCATTGAGGAAGAGCAGCAGCTCAGAGTCGCATATGGTTGATGACTGCATATGAGCTGTGAGTTCAAAACAGTTGACGATACGTTGAAGTTGAAAGGCCAGGTGGTTTCCAGTCATATATAGATCGAAGTCAATTCATATCGTCAGGAATGCGTTTGAAAAGAACATGAACTTGACTAATAACTATTTTTGTCTTATGGAAACAGTCTTTAAAGAACGGCTTAAAACAGACGGCACATATCACTCTCATTCCCGGTTTGATCAAGAATATTTGCAAGCATCCCTATACGTAGGAAATTCTTTCAAGTACTCTTTCTACCATAACACGTCTGAGTTTAGCTCGAATCAATAAAAAGGATGTAAATAACAAAAGTCTTCTCATGCGTCATGACAGAGATTCAAATTTAACAAACAACTTGGAAGGCTTTTTTCTTTTCAACTGAACCAGGACAAACATCGTACGCCATAGTCAGAGCGGTAATCTCAGGACTTCATGGCTCGCTAGATTTAAACAATATAGCTTAAGCTTAAGCGTAAAGATAGGAAATCAGATAGTGACAAACGGTAGAAGATAAACATAAGATAGTTATCAATATTCAGAAAAAAGCAGCAGAAAGAATCCTTTACAATGCCCTCCCTTTTTATTCACTGCCTAAGACACTAGCAGACACCAGTTTTGCAAATACCTCAGCATCATCATGGTTATATTTCACAGAATCCTTTACGCTGAGAGAAAATAGCCCTCTACCTTGCTAGAATAAACTATCATTTAACGATCTCAGACTTCATAAACCGACTTAATCATCATTTAAAGGTGGCTGACATCTATCACAACAATGTCTCCAAATGAACGCGCTCATAAATTGAAAACCATTCAAAAACACCTCATTTCTTTTTGCATATATGACCACTAAACTTAAAAATGATCTTTTCACTACATGTCGGCCAATATAATAGCTGGTGCTACAGGATATATTTATATCACGAAAACAGATCAAAGTGCACGGCTATAACTCAACATCAACAACCGTCCTGTACAAAAGCGCATTGCTGAGTGAGGTTTTTCATTCCACTGGTGCACCACTCCAGAAGATTCGACTCGATGTAACTGATTACTATAGCACACGTCAACAAGACGAACGACTGTGGAAAGCCGACTCGATCCGGCTCAGAAGAATACAAAGGCATCGAAAAGTTGGCCAAACATTTTATTAACCACCTATTAGATGGCACTCCATAGAAATAATTAGAAGTGACAGCTACTATCAATTAACTAATTACGTATGAACTGCCTTGTAGTTGGAGATGATAGTTGCTGCAGAACAGAGCAAATAAAATAAATAACCTTAATTCCTTTGATGGCCATAAAAGTTATTAAGGAAATCCCTGTTACCATATATACGATCCGTTTTATTTCCTGACCTTTAAAGGATTTACAAGAAATGGGAAAAGGTTGTACAACTAATATGAACAAATATGAGCAACATCGAAAAATTCAGCTTACTCATAATATCAGTATCAAGTAGGTATTTCGTAACGCTAGTTATGAATGAGTAGAGGTTAAGCAATGATGAATTCGGATTCGAGTGGTCGACTAACAAGATTTGCTGCCGTCATAGGAATCGCTAAAAGAGTCCCAGTCGAAGGCAGTAAACTCCCTTCAAATCCACAAAGGCCAACAACTGCCTGAGAATGAACCAACTCGAATATCTCGGGTACAAAGCAAAAAACTTACTCACTTGAATGGCCTGTCTTCACCGGTTGTGCAGGCCCCAGAATAATTTTCATTTTCGGAAATTTGCTGGTTAAGCTATTGTGGTTCCCTGGAATCCCGAGGTCAACCTGACCAAAGTCTACCCTGTCTTCACCACCGCAGGCTGTCGCAGCCCTTGTGGATCAGAGGGAGATTTGACACCATGCGACTTTGATAGTAGAACGGTGGTGGTACTCGGTATTGGTTTAATCCTAGCTAAATTTCCTGATGGAAGCGCCGGACTCTTTCTCAGCTTGGGAGACACTACGAGGTGAATGAATCCCCTCTGTACATCGCAGCCCGACACCCAGAAACACCTCCCAACCACGACGAGGCAGTAAACAGTTGCAAGGGAAACAACTTAAACTCAATCAGAATTTAGCATGTCAAGAAAACAAAACGGCAACGATCCTCAGTTTGCAGCAAAAACCACACCCGAACCCAACCATCACGGTTGAAAGACAATAAAACAAAATAAGGTAGTGTTGCCCACTTAAGCATCTAAATAAATGTTCCTACCCGTTGGTAGCCTTTTTTGTCAGTTTTATTTCAATTCTTATGAATACTCAGAGTTCACATAAGGACACTTCAGAAATTAGGGAAACTGCATGGGGTATTCATGATCAGAGAAAACTCTTTTTACAAAGTGGAAACTGAAATGCAAAACACAGTATAAGAATTACGAAAACACTTACATCGAAGTCGAAGACGCTCCTTCATTGCATGTGTCGTTCGCTGGTTTGGGAAAGACACGTTCAACTTCCTTCTTAGACTGGATCTTCTTTTTAGGCTGATCGTACGGAATCGGTAATATGGGTGTCTATAAATATATTTGTAACAATGCATGGAAAACAAAGTGACCAGGAATAACGGAACGAGAACAACATAGAACAACGTATTTAGTCACATTGAGATCACCTATAGCAACTATTCTAAGGTGAAGTACGATACAAGAGACGGAATTTCTATAAAGCTTAGCATAAATAACCAATATATTCATCGATATGTTCCCGTGAACTGATCTTGTTGAGTTGATGCGAGGTTGGCTTAAGCTGTCGTCGTTGTTGTTGTTGGTCGATGGCTGACGTTTCGGCGACTTCGCCTTCCTCAGTGCCGTGCTGTCACGACTGGGACTCGTCATGGAAACGTCAGCCATCGACCAATAACAACAATGAAGTACTAAAATTCCAAATACAAAATGCATAAACGATTACAAATCGAGGAATACCTGCGATATCGCTAAGCAATTATTTTTGTACAAAGCTGACAATAAATTAAGCCCCAGTAACTAAACCCAGAAAAAGAATATGGGAAATAGAATATGGAAATATGATTAACCGCCAGATATGACGACAAAGAATACGTTACGATTATTTTCTAATTACAAAAGAATAAAACTACGATGTTGCTGAGATAATTTGCAAAACTCCGGACAGCAAGTGCCTGCGGTGAAGATCGAACCTCGTTACGACCCTTTTCAAGAGCCAACGTATTTAGCACAACACTTTGCGTGTTCTTCGTTTCGCCTTTATTTCGGCAGGTGTTTTATAGGCACTACCAGCAATCACTCGTGAACGGGATTTAAAAAAGGAACACTTCTAAATCTTTGCACATACCGCTATATATGGGCCCACTGATTCGACTTGTCTCATGTATTCATACAATTCTGGAACACTAACTTTCATCTTTTTGAATGCCATCTCCACATCTGCGAGTGTTGGCTCGGTGCGACCGCCTGAAATAGTAACAAGGGTTAATCTGGCAAACGAAGATACGCTTCTCTCCCTTCAATTCACCCATTTGTAAAAGTTTTTCCGGTTAAAAACTCCCAATATTCACTTTCCTAACTTTCTCTACTTAAAAATTAAATGAGATTTCAACCAAACTAACCATTTTTCCGCTTTTTGTCAAAGTTACGCAAAAACAACCTCAACTCAATTCTTTTGAAAGCTATGTCGAAAGAGGAACAACGAACGACAAGAACTACAAGAGAAAAGCAAAAATGTGCGGACTTAAATTGTACTTGTTTCAAAGATTCTTGCTGCTGCTGCAAAAACAACTAAAAGGTCAGTTCAACAAAGAATGCGCTGTCTGTAAGATTAGTAACTCAATTTTTGGCCTCATGAGAACTGAATGGATTGACAATGCAACAAAAACGTGACAACACTAAATCGTATGTGGATAAGGAAAGAGTAAAGTTGTGTGTATTGCAGAATTAAAACTCTAAATGCATCCACAAGGAGTTACGTCAACTCATAATAAAAGCTTCGGTCAAAATTCAGTGCAAAGTAGTGTAATAAACACACAAAGAGGGCTCTAGAGAAGTAACCTGAAGCCTTTCAGTGACTGCACCACTGTGCTTGGGTGTATTCCTGGATGTCTAACTCTGACGCACCACAGGGGTTAATCCCCAGGAAGATTTCCCTATAACACATACAACACAACTGTAGCTGACGTTTCGGCATTATCGCCTTCTTCGGAGCTTGGAAGGGTATACTAATATGTAATTTGCTAGGTCAAACGCTTCAACAGCGCAAACAGAAAGATGGAAATCTGAACAGTAATTACACGATCACAGGCTTCCCGAAAAAACCACCCTTTTATCTGTTTTCCACCAAGGAAGAACAAACGAGTTGAAAGTAAATTCGAAAATTTCATACTCAAGTGTAGCTAATAGCAAATGGGCCAGGAATTAGCATCACCCCCTCAACGACAGAGCCACTAGCTTACAAGCGAATAACGACGTGGGGAAGGCTTTGCAAGGCTGTCAAGACCACGAAGGAGACAGAAAGATTCGTCGAACCACCCCTGATGAGATTTATGTCGTGGTCCGGGCGATTATTCGCAGCTCGGTAAACGCGGTGATTAAAGTATTCGGAGATTACTGTTTAAAAAATTGCTAACTAACGGATGTTCACCACAACAACAAGCGACATGGTGGAAATCCAACACAGTTAAAAAAACAAATGAATGTAAGCAAATGTAAACTTGTAAATATAAATGAATCCATGGATTAAAGTATGAGTGCTTAGAACAATAAGTCGCTAAACAACTCACAATGTTCCGTAAACAGATGTATACGCTCAACAAGCCGTTGAAGGTACAATTTCATCACATCACTTAGCGCATCCAAACACTTTGTATTCGCATGGGTGAATCCCATTTGTCCCAAACATCGACTTGTTGCTGCTCTAATCTGCAAGAATGAACTATAACAAGCTTAACAGTAACAGATTTTGCTAACAGAATTTCAATCCCCATTCAGGCTAAACTCAAATTTCTACCCTGCTTTCCATTTACAACGACGGATTGCGTTCTAGCTTCTAAGTTAAATATTTGGTTTTCGGTTATTGTAACGTGAATAGCAGCTTCAAAACAACATCATTAAGTTGATGACTATACCTGAAGTAGGTAATGCAATGAATAAGTGGTTCCTCACGGTACAACCCAGTACAACGACTAGGTTACTTAAATCCAACTGAAGAGAGAAAAAAAATAAACCTGAAGTCGTTCTCTTTTTACAGCAATCGTGGGGTTGTTATTCAGCACACGTTTAATTCCTCACAAATATAACACATACAACACAACTGTAGCTGACGTTTCGGGATTATCGCCTTCTTCGGAGTCTGGAAGGGTATACTAATATGTAATTTGCTAGGTCAAACGCTTCAACATTTAGGGTTAGACCAATCATCAGTTGTTTAAACGGGCCAACGAATAGGAATTACCCGTTTTCTAAGCCCAATACTAACCTAGCTGCTTAAACATATTCCAGCCCACCTCACGAACACCCAAATGTTCCTTGAACGTCTACGTAACGCGTCTCCTAATAACGCGTACGTGATGGAGTCTTTCGACGTTACCGCACTCTACACCAACGTATCGAATGACTCCGCAATGCAAACCATCTTCGAACTTCTTGTTGAACATGAAGGAAGAATAAAAGTGCATGGTTTGTCCATCCAGCAGCTTATGCCTCTTAAAAGAGTGCCTAAACTGCTCGATTTTCAGGTGGCCTGGGAAATATTTCGTGCAAATAAGGGAGTTGGCAACGGGACAGCGAGTGGCACCAAGCTTTGCCGTTGCGTTTCTGTCTAAAGTAGAAGCCCCGTTCTCGGTCTCCAGCCACTACTCTACTGCAGATATGTAGATGATTTCAATGTTATACCTTTTTATTTTCTGCCTACTATAATTTCGCGGCAGGGTACTAAGCGAAATACAACCACAAAGTTGCTGAGATATTTAGTGTGGTGGTGAACGCGCTACTCCCCGGAAAGGACAATAGCGCGTTCGTTCCCCACCATAGACACCTACAGTCAAGAGTTTTGCAAATATCTCAGCAACTTTGTGGTTATGTAGATGATTGTTTTGTCGTCTCCTCCACGCAGGAGGAGATGGACAAATGCTTTAAATTATTGAACGAGCAGTCACAATACACCAACTTCACCCAGGAGAAGCCGAAAGACAACTGGCTCCCGTTTCTAAACGTTCAAATTAACTTATTGGTATTGATTTTTGCATTACCTTTCAGATGATGGGCGATAAAGGGTAATACAAGGATAACATAACAGATTTTTATGTAAAAGTCGCTATCATCGCACGGAAGACTAAAACACCAGCGCGCAAATTTCTCGAGTCTTTTCAGATAAATTCCAAAAATCCGAGAATGCATAGCAGGGAAGAATGCCCTGAGATCACTCGTGATCTCGCCCTTACCTTCGTATCGATCGTTGATGTGGGGAGGTGCAGCCGTCAACCATATACGACTCTGAGCGGCTGTTCTTCCTCGGTGGAAGACAGGTGAAAAAAGCGGTGGGTTTTTTCGAGAAGCCGTTGATCTTGTAATTACCGTTCAGATTTTCATCTTTCTGCCTGCGTTGTTGAAGCGTTTAGCCTAGTAAATTACATATCAATGTACCCTTCCAGGCTCTGAAGGCGATACTGCCGAGACGTCAGCTACCGTTGTGTTGTATGTTTTATATTTGTGAGGAATTAAACTTGTGCTGAATAACAACCTCATGATTGCTCTAAAAAAGAGAACAACAGATTTATAATCCATTGCTGAGGTTAATAGAAAGTCGGTCTTGGGAACTGTTAAACCTGAAGTATTAAAACATTGGACAATAATCCCTCATCTTTAACTTAGCATTTAAGTAAGTACTAACCGTCCCCAAAAAATCCAAGAAGTAACATACGAGGAACATGCTAGAAGATAAGGTAAGTTGAGCTGATTCACAATCGAGACACCACTTAAACAGTTGGAAGTGACAGAGTTTTTCGAAATACGATTTTCCATAGCTACTAAGTGTATCTGTTATACAAAAACAGATTCCATAGCTAAAGGCACGTCCTGGAACTATGCATACAGTCTATTTATCCTAAAGCAGTATGTACTGTACCAAGCAGGTAGGACCAGACCCTTTTTCTCGATCACTTATATAGATCAATAGTGGCTTAACAGCGTTGAAGATAAGGCGATAAACTAAATAAGTTCGTAAATCCTTAAACATGGTCAAATCGCTCCCAAAATAATCTAAATAAAAGTCGACTATTCAGGTTCGTTACAGATTGAACATGACCGAATTACATCATTCAAATCGTGGCAAAAAGTGAACCTTTTAGGCATGCTGTACCGTAAACATGGCAAGACTATCCTTAAGAAAATCTTTAAAGAAAACAACCACGAACATACTCTATGTGGAAATATCGGGCCAGTTATCTTACAAGACCACGTGGCTCACCCCAGGCTGCCGATGGCTAAGGGCAGATTAAAAGCGGTTATGTGAACGCCTTGCGACACAGGTCGCCCCATTGGATGGATTCCCTGTGTCTGTTGCGCAGGACACATCTCCCACATACATTTACCAAGGGTTTCTCAAGCATATCTGTGTAGTTCTGCTTACTTATAATTGGACTGTACTTTATATATCACCTCACCAAAAGCTTGCAATCAAACGTCTAAGAAGTGCACGAGAACCCAGAGGTAATCCAAGAAAAATTTATGCATACTACAGGAAAGTCTGACACGCTAACGCTCTTCACAGTTCCACACAGAACTTACTAATATACAAATGGCTTTACACTTACTAAAAATAGTGGAGAAAAAGAATGTGAAATTAAACCCCTCATCAATGCAGTAACTGTGCACCATTATAAGCTAAGTAGTATAAGTACTATAACTACTAGCTACTACTACTAGTACTACCACTACTCCTTAAGTGGTATAAGTTTCGAAGTTATCAAAAGGAAAGCTACCTGTGCATCTAAATAGTTATTCATTACGTCCATGATCGACAAAGCCAGCAGTTAGGAGGAGACGACTAGTCTTCTTCTGTTCTTAGTGCTAACGACAGTGAAGATGGAACTGAAAACCTGGAAATTAGAACTCTTACGAACCGTGTACCTTATCAACGCCCTAATTATAACTCGTTAACAAGCGAATACGTGTTAACAGCTTAGGATGATAGCCGCCAGTAAGAAAACAATATGTTGCAAATAGAACTCCATATATACCGTAAACCAAAACCCGTATCAGGACCTAGCCAACTGGTCGGAGGGGCCCTACGATATATGTGGGATCGATTCCAGGTCTCCATGCCCACCATGCCTTCCATCCTTCCGGGGTCGTCCAATTGGTACCAGACTTGTTTGGGAGGATGGCAGCAGTGGCTAGATCCATCGGTAGGCAACAGGGAGTCATTGTAAAGGCCATATATGCATTCAGTCACTTCCAACGAAGCCTAGTGAAGTCGAATGCATGGCGCATACCTAAGGGATTGATCAAAGCAGGGAGCTTTGTCCTTTATCCCTATATTGCATTGATGGTCTGTTGATGGATTACGAAGTAGATCGATATGACGCGAATTGTTCCATACTTTTAAGTTGAAAAGAGAAGTGAAAAGTTAACAAAAATAAATTCCATACGTTCCAAACTTTAGAGTCATAGGCTATCATGTCATAGTTTAATGACAAAGGACATTAACCACTCGGATAGTGATGATTTCAAGTCCTGTGTCATCTCTTACAAGTCACAAATAACTAGTAAGCGATAACAAAGGGGATTTGTTTTCGGGGTTTTTCATGGCACTACCAAATCATCTCAAAAGCTGTATGATGCCGTCTTTAAGAGTAGTCAACTTTATAATAACAGGCTATGAAGAAGTAGTACAGCAGCAAGTAGTAAAGTACAAAAATGTCGCTTATAAAGCTAGCCAAGAGATTGAGCCACTGCTAAGAAGCATAGGCCTATCGGCAACACGTGGTGCTTATAAACCCTACTTATATGACGCCTACATGCGAGATTTTACAAGTTTATCATGTTCTGATGAGTTCTAACCTGATAAAAATGATTTCTAAAGCCGTCAGGTGTACCCTGGTCTTTTCTACTTTCAATGAGAAGTACGTAGTTGATGGTTTAGAAGCTCTCTGGCAATAATCATATGTGTAAGTATCACAAGAAATGTGTAACAACCGTACAAGGATTGACTCCTTACCACGGTATCATTTGCCTTCAACAAAAGTCGTAATGGAGACTGAAAGTCTTGCAAAGAACAAAATAAAGCCTTTCTGCGAAAATTGATTTTTGTTTGCTATAAGTTGTTTTCCAAGAATGAATTACTTTGAATAAAAAGACGGTCCTTCTTCTTATTTCAGTACCCTCCGCCTACGGTTTACCGCCGCATCACGGCTGGGAGGTGTTCTCGGGTGTCGGGCTGCGATTTATAGCGAGGGATTCATCCCCTGGCAGGGTCCTCCAAGCTGAGGTGTTCGACGTTTCCACCAGGAAGCTCAGCCAAGAGTAAACCAATACCAGGATCCACCACCGAGTTGATATAAAGCTAGTCGAATAGTGGCAAATCTCCGCCTGAATCACAAGGGCGGCAACTGCCTGTGGTGTTGACGGCCTGGAGCAGACTTTGGCCAGTTTGACCTCAGGATTCCAGGGTAACATAATACTAAACCAGCAAGACTCAAAAAAAGTGGAGATAGTGTTGGGGAACGCACGACCAGTGAGGACGGGCCAACCAAGTATTAAAGTAAGTATTTCGCTACCCTAATACAAAATTTCCGTTCCAGTATCCAGTCTTGCAGGACCTACAGAATATAATGAGGTTTCCAACAACAGTAGTCACAGATTGATATTTCGTTGAGGATCACTTCCTC